CGGCAGCGCCTCCGGCAGGCGAGGCGCGGCGCCGCTCCAGACCCGCCCGCGGGGCCGCCGCGCCCGGGACCCGGGGCAGCCGCCGTCTGGGGACGGGCCGGGGAGAAGGAGGAGGAGCGGCCTCCTCACGGCCACCCTGGTGCAAGCCCGCGGTGCGGCCCTGCTCGCCGCCGCCATGAGCGCCGGGCAGGCCGCGGGGGAGGAGGCGGACGCCGCCGCCGCGTCCCCGGCACTTCCCAGGGTGCTCTCTGCGCTCTTCTACGGGACGTGCTCTTTCCTCACCGTGCTGGTCAACAAGGCGCTCCTCAGCGCCTACAGGTGAGCGGCGGGGCAGAGCGGGCGGCCCCCCACCCGCGGCTGCCGGTGCAGCCGGTGCCGGGCGATGCCGGGCTGTCCCTGCCCGGCGGAGAAGCCTTCCCGCTCCTGTTCCCCTTCCCGCTGGCGTGACCCTCGGGCGTCCGTGCAGCTCGGGATCCCGAGCAGCCAGCTGGTGGGTAATGTGCTGGAAGCAGGGCCGATTTCACCAATTTGAGACCCCACTCGTGCCCAGTATGTGCCAGTTCTGCAGCACCGCCCGACGGCAAGCACAGTTCCGACAACACCCGTCTTTTCCTCGGTGTCTTTTCACTGTTCCCAGAGGATCACACTACCTTAGACGCCCGTGAGGGAAACAGCGTATCCTCTAACTGTTCCTGCCGAATAGTACCTTTCTTCCAGCATCTTTCTTTTCTGAGGTAGCCAGAAACGAAAAGTGAACCTTGTAAAATGGCTTGATCATAAAAACACTGAGAGATTCCGTCCTTGGCTTGATGGCTCTAATTCCCATACAGAATACTGGTGATAATCAGCATATTCTACCATTGTGTGAAGTAACGACATTAACTGCAAGTCTTACACTTCGCATTTTACTCTTAGTCTTGCAGCTGAGGGAAATAGGAACTTGGACATTCATATCCAAGTCATACTTTTCCCATCTAGATTTGTATACTTGTTGGACTTCGATCATCCTTGTGGGTCCCTTCTGACTCAGGATATTCTGTGATTGTCCTGTGACATTGCCATTTTTGTCACCACTAACATGTTTTACTTAAAATCATTGCTCTGTGCTGTGGTTTAGCTCATCTTGAATTAAAATAAGAAAATGAAAACCCCAAATTAAAAGAAAGTTAAAAAGCCAAACTTGCTGTAATTTTCTAACATTCAGTGCTATTTGAACCTATAGCAGCTGTATTTAATATGTCTTATAAATTGTACATGGTGCAAGTTGTGATTTTATTTTATAGTGGTTTTTATCCTACAGACTGTAGCTCCCTGAAAGTCCCTGGCATACATCTAGCACATCTGTGTGAGATGATCGAGTACAGTATGTCCATCAGTAAGCCTAAGTTTTGTATTAAGACCTTATAGCATTGCTGGAAATATTTAGGCCTCTGCAAATTGCAAATGTCTGGAGAAATCTGTGTAGTACAGATGGGCAAACTCTCCGTCTTTGTATGGGGGAGCTGTAAATGCTAAAAAAAAGGCAGTTTAAGTGTCACATGATTATAAATGGAAGTCTTATTTCTTATATTTTCCTGCCCCCAATACTTCTGTTTCCCTGAGCTCTTTTGCTATCAGTTGCTCCTAATTCTGTGTTAGGACTGTAGTGCTCTTGTGGCCTTTTTGCTGTGAGTCAGCTTGTTTGTTTCTCTTGTCAATGCTTTATTCCCATCCCAATTATGTTAATATTAGATGTATATTTCTCACCACACTAAGTAGGAAAACAGCAGTTCTGCAAATGTCATGAAGTTCAGCGAGGCCAGGTACAGGGACCTGCACCTGGATTGAGGCAATCCTAGGCCTCAATCCAGGACAATATAGTCGGCACAGAGAATGGATCGAGACTAGCCCTGGGGAGAAGTACTTGGGGGTGTTTGTGGTAAAAAGCTGAATATGAGCCAGCGCTGTGTGCTTGCAGCTCAGAAACCCAACCACCTGGCCTGCATCAGAAGAGGTCAAGGAAGGGGATTATGTGCCCCTGCTCTGGTGAGACCCCACCTGTAATAATGCATCCAGGTCTTGGGGCCCCCCAACTCAAAGAAGACATGGACCTGTTGGAACTAGTCCAGAGGAGGTCACTAATCACAGTGGCTCTGATCGCAGGGTGGCTGCACCTCTCCTGTGAAGACATGCTGAGAGAGACAGGGTTGTTCAGCCTGGAGAAGATTCCAGAAAGACCTTATTGTGGTTTTCCATTACCTAAAGAGCTGGGAAGGGGAAGAAGGAGGAGCAGGGAAGAGCTCAAGAAGGACTTTTGAGAAGGCCATGTAATGGTAGGACAAAGGGAAATGGACTTAAGCTGAAAGAGGGGAGGTCTAGATTGATATCAGGAAGAAATTCTTTGCTGTGAGAGTGATAAAGCACTGGAGTAAGTTGTCCAGACAGGTTGTGGACTCCCCATCCCTAGAGGTGCTCAAGACCAGTTTGGATGGGGCTTTGAGCAACCTGGAGTAGTGGAAGTTGTCCGTGCCCATGGCAGAGTGTTTGGAGCTAGATGATCTTTAAAGTCCCTTCCAACCTAAACCATTCTGTGATTCTATCCATGCTTTCAGCTAAAGCCAACTGAAGGGAATTATAGTAGGAATGTAGCTGTGTTAGTAGACAATAGAAGTTTCTACAACATTTACCTAAGAACTTGATTTTGACAGAAACACATTGCTAGTATGTTTGGATTGTAGAGATCAACTTCCATGTTACAGCAAGTGCAAGATGCTTTAGTTACTATCCCATCTCAGGATTCAAAATGTATATGTGAAACTACTCAAGAAATGATGCATTATGACTTCTCTAAGTGTGTTACCTTCACTTATGAGTATTCCCCAAACAACTAGCAGTTCAGAATTGATCAACTGTACATGGGTTCAGGTACAGCTGTACAACAACATGTATCATTTGGGCTGCAGAAATAAAATATTTCTACTACAATAAGTGTAGTCCTGAGCTCTTCTTAAACACAGGCCAGTCATCCTCATGTTTAATTATTGACTTTGGTTTTAAACTTTAACTTTCTTATTTTTCCTAATTATTTATTTCTATTCTTCAGTACTAAATGTCTGTTCATGTTTTTCAGCTTCCCGTCACCAGTGTTTCTTGGAATTGGACAGGTATGTTCACAAGTATACGAAAAGTATTCATTATTTTTTGAGGTAGATTTTAGGGGGCAAAATCACAGTTACAGTGAACTGCTTGTCTTCTGGATCAGATATACTTTAAGGAACTGTAATTTGTTTCATTGAAAACAGGCAACTTTGAGCTTGAGTCAAAATTATTGCCTGGAGAGAGTCATGTAAAAGACTGGAATGCTATTTATTTCTCCTTGTAAAGTTCAGTAATTAAGGAATCTGGCCTTCAAAACTGTCCAGCTTTGTTCCCTCAAATGTATACGTTCTGTGAGAGTCCTTGAGCCTTTGTAGACTACATGCAGAGATATTGCCCGTTTGTAGCCAAACCATGTATTTCCTCATAAATTTCTCCCCATTTTCCAGCAGTTTTCCAGTAGTACGAGTGCAAAATTTTGATTCTTTCTTGCTTTATTTGCCCATGGGTAAGTTGCAGCATGGCAGCAGAAATGATTTTTATTATTTTTGTTGTTACGAGGCATGGTGGTAAAACCAAAGTTCAAATGCTTATGGACTGGGTCCATAAAGAAGAATGTATCACTGCAGAGGGATCGCTGATAAAGATGGAGCCTTGTGTTGCAAGTGTTGTTTGGGCAAATACATTTTGTAGGGAATTTGCTTTCTGCCAAGGCTGCACAGCAGGGAGTAGTGAGGAAGTATTGAAAACAGGGTACCACAAGTCTGACATCTCTGCTGTTAGGTGCTAGAGAGAGTAAAATGTCTTGTAAAGACTTTGTGATGTGGTAGAGAGTTTTACATACCCAGACTGCTCAAGGAACCATAGACCATGTTTCAGTGAAGGGCTAGAAAATGTGGCAATAATTCATGTCTTGATGCAGCTTTTTTCTTTGCAGAATCAAAGACTTAATGGCATTTCCATTTTTTTTTTGTTGGCAGATCCTTCCAAGATTTTCCTGAACACTATATAAAGTACATAGGATATGGTGTAATGCTTTAGTCTGCAGAACATGACTCCATCCCATCCTCTAGATAGTTGATTGCTGTCTTTTTGTATTAGGAAAATTTGACCCTTTGTTTTGACTCCTTGCGGCAGCATTAACACCTATGATGTATGATTGCTCAGATATTCTTCTTCAGTCTGTCTGCATCTTTACTATTTCTTCCTCATGTTGTCAACAGAATGATCAATGCCCAACCTCCATCTTGCACTACCAAAAAAAAGTTTTGGGAGTGGTTCTGCAGACTAAACAATTCTCTGACTAAAAATTTCATGGTTTATCTGGGATTGTGTCCTATTTTATTTTCACAACTCCTTCTCAACATGCATTGTTTCACAGAATGCCACTAGTTTTCTTCAGGATAGTAAAGTATATGTGTGTCTTTTACTTTTAAATAAATAACTGGCAAAAATTGTTTCAATAAGGGCAAAATTATTTCAATTTGTTAATTTCATTCTGTGCTGTTCTTTCACAGAAATATGTAAAAACTAGCATTTGTCAAATTCCTATAAAGATTTTGTCTTTTAAGCAGTTTTTTCATTCATATATTACAATTTGCTCTTACATGACTTCTCATTTTTTCTTTTTGTTTAGATGGCAGCCACTATACTTATCTTGTATGTGTCAAAACTAAATAAGATTGTTCACTTCCCTGATTTTGACAGAAGTATACCTGTGAAGGTAAAGCTCACACATGTTGTGGTCTTAATAGGAAAGAGTTACTTCTTATAATAGCATTCTTTCTTATGGGGACGAGAAAAATTTTTGCATTTCTTTTTCAAATGGGATTCTTGGTATCATTGTTTCATTTAAAAATTGATATAATTTTAATTTCTTTGCAATATTCTAGTCTGGGCTATAGACATAAAATCTGTTTGCAGAGAAATCTGGTGCCATTTAGTTATGTAGCACATGGGAGGGGTGTTTTACCTTTATACAGCAGGATGAAATCTTCCACATTCTTGAAAGGCTTTCCTGGATATAGGTCTCTGTGGGATGAATGGGAGATAGGTGTTTGTGAAAGACTTTTTAATACAGAATGAAGAGAGAAAGTCTGCTTAGAAATATGAATGGAGCATGTGACAAAATAGTAGAAAAGTAATGTGATAGATGAGAAACCAGAACAGCTGACTCCCAGTATAAGATTTGTGTTCCATTGGAGGGGCTAAAATAATGCCCACTGAAAATGCTGTAGGTGGTAACTGGCTGCATCATACAGACCTTGAATGTATGTGGTTTTAAGAGGCAGGACAGAACAAATGTGAGAGGACCTCCTCTTACCTCAGTTTGGGAACTAGGATGTGAAGTGACTACAGCAATGATCCTCAAAGATTTTTGCATCTATACAGTGTTGTTGGAATGTTTCTTTGATGCATTAGTCTGTATGTTTATGTCTTGTTGCAGATTATCAGTTGTGTTTGCTTTTGCTCCAGGACACAGGGAATGTTCCCGGCCCTCCTTCAGGGATCAGATAGTATAGCTTTTCAGGCCCACATCTTTACTGCAGAATCTTGTCTTCCTGTCAGTGTGAGGTTCACAATGGATGTCTCACAGATATATTAATTCTTAATGCATGTTGAAATCATTGGCATTTCTACATGTACAAGTCTTGGAGGAAAATCTATGGTATCATTCATAAAATGGACAATCCTTCTTTGTTATTCCAGAATAAGAAAGGAGGTTTCCCAGTGGCTAGCTTTGAGTTCCATGTATAAGCAACTCATTGAGACCTCGAGAAGTTTCTTCCCTCCATTCCCCACAAGTCCTGCTGTGCTCCCTCTCTGCTGTTGTCTTTGTTTTAACTTATGTACAAAGGCATTAAAAAAAAACAGAGCATGTATTTTCTTTATCCTAATGTGTTGTTTGGAAGACTTTGCTGGATAGGCTGGGAGCAGTCAGCATGTTAGTTTCCAGGACTTGTATATTGTTTGCGGTGTTGGAATTGGCTAGTGAATCAGCTGGATTGCTCATTGTTGATTTCTTTACTTTTTAAGGAGCCCTTAGGCGAACTCCTTATCCTTTTGTCAGGTTTTGCTTTGACACTAAGATAACCATTACTTTTCAGTCCTCAACTGGTTTATGTCTTCAGTGCATTCAGCTAGAGGTTTAAAGTAGTGAAATGCTTATTTTAGTGATGAAGCTTTGAAGTTCCTGACCCCTTTAAGTAAATGATTCACTGATCTCTGCTGTTGTGCTGGATGTTGTAATTTTGTCTTTACAATGGAGTGGATTTCAGAGGAAAGATAATACCATGTCTGCTCTGTTTTCAGCCTATAAATTAAATGAACCAATATGTTCTAAAGAAAAGTCTGCAGATGACACAGTGCTTTACAAAATTTTTGCAAACTTATGCTGACAGGCTGAATATTTATTGTTACTCATACTCCTGCTTTCTTCATACTCTTGTTTACTTTCACTTAAAAGTTAACTTCAGTTGACTATCAGTTAACTTCTACTTCACTTTTTTCTCTCTTGCTGTAAAAGAAACACAGCATTTTTAACATAGATTAAATACACCCCACTCCTCTGTACGCTTTTCCAGCAGACAAAGTTTAAAAATGCATAGCCTTTGACTTTAGTGTCCTCCAAAGCGTCCCTGTGTAGAAACAACAGTAACTATTACACATTAGGATAGAGGATCTGTTATGTCTTTCTGCCATTTCAGCCCCTCGACTGATAGTGAATGGGACCAAGTGTACACACTGCCTTTGTCCCCATTGATTACTTCGGCTGGTTTAAATCTTTTGTAAATTCCAGCCTTATCCATTCTGTGATACTGTAATTTTTTTCTGTAGCAGGAAAATTAATGGCTTTGAGTAGCAGCTGATTATTGTAGGGATTCATGTATTCTTGTACATTTTCTTAAGGCTCATAAGTTCCATTATTATTTCTCTCTGTTGTGTTATGGACCATAGATTTCTATGCAAGTCAGTCTCTTTGAAGCAGAGAAGCAAAGTTTAATTTATTCATAATTACTTACCTTTCCTTTCTAGTATCTTTCATAGCAAATTTTTCTGGGTTAAATGTTGCAACTTCCAGCTGTACTAATATATGTGGAATATGTAGAGGAGCACAGCATATTTGTAATTTATTAATTTTTTTATTCCACCTCTTCACTTGTTTATTTAGATACTGTTGTTATTATTACCTTTATATCTAAAATTAATTGTTAAAATGGATATTAATCTGAGGATTATAGTAGATAGAATAAAAGTGATTATCATTTACTCTAAATGGATTCTAAGTCTCATTAGTAGTAAATTGCAATTCTTCTAATGACATCAGTGAAGCTGTGGTCATAACCAGTCACATAAATAGGAACTGCAGAGGAGCTTGCAGCATAGTTACTTTTGTTCCCTGTTAAAAAAAAGCCCTCTTTCTTCATAAAAGTACATCTGATATGACAGATATCAAATTCTATCAAGTAAAGTTTCTCAACAGTACTTCTAAACAAAGTAATCTGAGTTGTGCTTTTAATTTTATCACAGTTATTTCCTCTGCCTCTGATTTATGTTGGAAACCACTTAAGTGGATTATCAAGTACCAGCAAACTCAGGTACAGTAGACTGTTTGGATTTTACCCTTTTATCTTGTGGGGTAAAAAAGAAACACTAAAGAGCATTGTCTGGAGTCTTAAATCTATGTGGTGTCTGTCTGCCTGTCTGTCTAAACCCCTGGTACTGTTATGAAATTTTTACACAAACATCTGATCAGTTTACAAGTTGTCTGCTTCCTTTAAGGGGAGCTTAGCCAGTCCTGTACTGACATAAAATCACAATACTCCTATATGACCATGAAGTGCTTAACCTTTTGCCTCACACCCATGCATTCAGCTTTTCCTGAGTGTCTTAACCAGAGTTGGAAAACTGTAAGGTATTTCTGAAGGAAGAAGCATAAGGAAAGTATTTGTACCATGATTTCATGGCAGATATTTAGGAATCACCAAGAGATGAAAAATCTGCTGTGTAGTGGGTGGTCGTGGTGGCCTAGCCCTGCTGAGTACGAAAAGCAGGTTGTCAGGGAGCACTGCTGAAGGATGCCTTGACTCCCATGTGCATTAAGCATAGACCCATGAGAGTTGCTTCCATGCTAGTGCTAAAAAGGTGTAAGCAGACCTTTGCTGTAATAGAAGGAATGAGACTGTATTTTCTGTGGAAGATGAGCACAGAAGCATGATGGCTGCACCAGGACTGGAGGATACAGCTGGAGGATACAGCTGGATACACCACTACCATTGTGGTGGTTTTTTTACATGATTGCAGGTTCCTGCAATTTGGTGCTAAGCTAAACCAGAACAGAGTTTTGCAGGTTTGTGTGAATTTCGTAACTGTGAGACAGATGCTAGGAAAGAAGATAGAACCACAGAATCACAGAATCATCAAGGTTGGAAAAGAGCTTTAAGATCATCCAGTGCAACTGTAAACACAGCACTACCGCTGTAACCCTGGACCAGTAATCTTATCACCCAGAGCCAGATCCAAACACCTTCAGGGATGGTGACTCCACAACCTCCCTGGGCAACCCACACTAATGCCTGATCACCCAACAATGACAGTGTTTTTCCTAATATCTAGTCTGAATCTCCCCTGTCTCAGCTGAATGCCATTTGTTCTGGTGCTCTCACTGCAGGCACAGTAGAAGCGACCAGCCCTCACTCACTGCACCCTCCTCTCAGGGAGTTGTGGAGAGTGATGAAGTCCCCCAGTATATTGCTTTTAATTTGTTTGCATTTCTTTTTATTTATAGAATTAATGTTCTCTAGCTATGAACACTAGATGCCTGATTCTGCAGCTTTGTTGAATGTGTTCACAAGCTGTTCCACTGAAACAGACATTAAGACTTAGGCAGTACTGTGCCTAGTAGCACTTCAGCCATTGTGGATATGAAAGAAGTTTCAAAACTGTAAAAGTTGGCTTTTTCTTTCCCTTTTCCCCGACTGTAAATTTAAATGCTTAGTAGGATATGTAAGTGCACCTTCTCCCTCTCCTGTGGCTGGTATACCTCTTTTAGATTTACTAGTTTTAACTAATTTTTATAAGAGAAACTTTAAAATGCCTGAATGTTCCTACCATTAATATTTTGTTACATTGCATTTTGGTACAATATATGATACTTGTTTACATCATTAAATTCTCCACCTTGTTTAGGTTGTCTGCAAGGTGCAGATGATGCTATGCATAAATTCAAAATATCCATTGTAAAGTTTTTTAACATTGTGTTAGGAATTGTATCATTTACGAATGCAATTGTTAATAATTATCTTAAGCAGGGGATTAATTGATCCATATGGCCATGCTTTCACATTTACAGTGTCAGAGACAAGTGTTTTCTCACCCAGAAAGGTTTCCAACTGCATTAGTTCATGAAGATCAACAATATCTTGCTAAAAGTAGAAGTTTGTTTTGTAGTTGCAGTTGTGGCCCCACCTTTCATGTTGTATTTCCTCTAATTTTTTGGTCATGAATGTATTTTACTTATTCAAAGTATAGCTTGTTTATTAAGCATGTTTTCTTTGTATTTCATTTCTGTTACACGTTTTCAGAGAAAGATTTATTGTCTCTCCTCTTAAGTTTCAATAGAAATAGTTTTTATTTAACTATGCCTATGAATTTTGCAGAAAGAATTGTCTCATAAGGGTTATGCTAGGTAGAAAACATCTACTATATACCGTTTCAATAATGCAGAGTGACCTTCAAACACTAGCCAGTTGCACTGATTTACTAACTGGCAAAGCTTGCTATCTTTCAATGATTTGGTTGTCTAAGGTGCATATCAGACTGACATTAAGAATTCTTATATATGTACTAAATGATTTGCTATTTGTTTTGTTTTCTTATTCCTGGACTAATTGTTCCATCCCCTGGATTAGTAAAATAAGAGTTAGAATATAAGAATGCTGTTAATCTGATACGATGCTTGGATTTTTATTTTGTTTTTTTTTGACAGTTTGCCGATGTTTACAGTGCTCAGGAAGTTTACCATTCCTCTTACTTTACTGCTGGAAATCATCATACTTGGGTGATCCTTTTTGTTTGTTTTTGGGGTTGTGTTTTTGGTTTATTTTTTTTTCGTTTAAGATTCCTTTATTTTAGATCATCTCAAACTGATTACTTGTGTCATCTGATCAGAAAATAGAATGAGTGATTTTTACTTACAAATAGAGAAAAGCAAAGAAAGTGATCTATGTAGCTTTTTTGAAGCCATAGACATATACATTTTAGTGAGGAGACAGAGAAAATCAACTTGCCTTCATTTTAATGTCTCATTCTCTAGACTGTTACATGGGTTTCAAGTCAGCAGATACAACACAGACACTTTCAGTGGTTTGTGCCTTGTCTTGGAGGCTCCTAAACTGTGAACTGATTCAGACAGATCCTTATGTCTCCAAAAAGTGCTGATAGCATGGCAGTCTGCTAATGTAGAGTAACTGTCCGGGTCAAGTCTGAAAACATACCAGGTTAATGAAGCCAAATGGTATCTACCAGTTCTTAGATCAGAGAATTTCTTACTTACAGACACCTGTTATTTTTCATGAGAAATTAAGAAGGATATGCTAGCTGCTCAGGATCTCTAATTTCAATAGTACTGAGTTGGAGGAACAGGAGTATAAATACATTACACTTTGTCCAAGAACTTCACAGGTCTATCCACATGGCTGATGCTGGACTCACGAGATGAAGTCACAAGGAGAAAACCAGCTTGCTGAAGCTGAACCCAGGCAGCGCAAGAGTGATGGTCAGGGGAAAGCTAAAAAAATGCAAAAAGCAAAAAGCCCCCAAGGAAACAGTCATCTCCTTTTGGCTGAAGCAGCAGCTAATTGATCAATGTGATTCATATTTGGAGATGCTCTGGAATTCTTTTGTAGTTTTAACTTCTCCCAGGAAAAGTAAAACTTGCTGTCTTCTGTTGGCCTGAAGACTCCCTCAAGCAAGTGAAAAAAAATGTAAGTCAGTGAGATTTACATAAATGCTCAGCTGGAGAACAGCAATGTGGACTATGAGTGCAAGCAACATCCTAACCATGGAACGCGTGGGAGGAGAATCCTGTGTTGGTGCAGGCTTACATAGTGGATTTCCTCAGGGCTGAAAATGAAAAGACTGTAGAGAGTCTGTGCAGACTTATGTCAGGATTTTTGAAACAATCAAGGTTTGGATTGTTACTCTTGAGAGTCATTATGATCAAAGCCTAATTTATCTAGAGTCTGCACAGCACATTATTCTAGGGACAGTGGTCCACAGATGTGGTCCTTTACACACAGGATTTCTCCAAGAGTATTTCTTCAAGAGAATTGTACATTTTGTTTTAAGGATCTTTTCTCTCAGTCTGTCTTGACAGAATAAGGACTAGGGGAATATCTGTAACGCATATTGCAGTATGATGAAAAATGAGTACTTAAGATATTTCCAAGTAAATTAGTGTAGATATAAAAACCTTTTTATAGGTTTACAGTATGTTTTTACTACTCTGTGGCAGCACTGATGTGATAGTAGTGAAGAATGTCATAATCTTCATGGTTTCCCTTTCAAGTTTCAGTTTGAGCTCAAAATAAATAGATTAAGATTATTTGAAAATAATCCAGACAGTGTGCTGTATAGCATCTTCCTCAACAAAGGTGATATGAAAAACTGCATGAGAGATGTACAGTGATTTTCCTGTATTGGACTGCTGGACAACACTGAAATATGTCTATTATGAATATCAATACACATTAAATTTGTTTGGTTCAGTGCTGTTACTTTGAACCTTTAATCTTTGCTTTTATAATTGTCTAGTAAGAGAGTGCTCACAGTGCTTTTTCAATCTCTGTTCTCAAGGCCAAGGTCTGACAGTGTGGCTCATGGGCAATCACGTTGTTTCTGTAAGGTTGTTGAGACTTTGCCCTCCTGTTAAGTGTTCTGCGATTGTTAATTGCTTTGAAACTTTTCAGGCAGACAGCCATTTAGTCTCCACTTCAAATAATGAAAATGTGAACTGTTTCAATTTTTGCCTGCAGGAAACGGTACCCAGTGAATATTATAGTCAGCGTATTTGCCATCATTCTTGGGGCTTTCATAGCCGCTGGGTAAGGTTTTAATTTCTCATACAATGCCATATTATGAGGGGGGGACAGCAGGAGGATTTTTTCCTTGTTTAATTCTGAGTAAACCTAAGTGGAAATAAGTTCCTCTGAATAAAGTTTTGATTGGGAAAATCTCTCTAGTGACATCACTGGGAGGTACAGGTATACAAAGGAAAAAATCTAATTTCTGCTGACAGTGGTATCAGCAGAAATTAGATTGGGTGTGTCTTTTTCCACCTCTAGGTTTTCCATGTTTGCAGGATCATAAATGAAGCAAGTTAAAATTATGTGAGGAATGTTGTTTTTATTTCATGGTATCACTGTATTTTAATAACCTTGGAAAAATATATTCTTGTTCTGGATAGAAAGAATGATATTTTTGTTGCCAGATATGGAGTAACACATTGTATATTTTTTAATAATAAAAATCCCACCTTTTTTTTTAAGTTCCATTGTGAGATAATGGTTACAAAGCACCCATATGCTCTTGTCCTCTGTTTTCTGTGTGATCATTCCTTTACCTACCTGGAAAGTTAATGTTTTGTTTGTTTGTTTCCTGGCTTTGCTATGAACAAGAGTAAATAATTTCCGTGTGAAGTGACAGAGATAGAGCCATGTCCTATCAAATTAATTACCCTGTACTGATGAGGTAACTAGTCAAAACAGAAAGGATGACAACATGTCTGAAAAACATACAAACCAGTTGGATTTTATTCCCTAGTAAAAGGAATAGGTACGTAAATTCAGTTATAATTGGACTGGTTGTCAGGGTTGAGATGGGTGGAATTTTTCTCTGAATGAAAACTGAACGTTTCCTGCCACTTTCACGCTGAGTATTAGGAACTCTCTGATGTCTCATTTGTGATGGTCCTATGACTGGAGAAATGTAAAGTATTTTGACTTACAAAGAAGGCTTGAAGCAAAACCTGTGACTGGCTGGAGTTCTTTGCATATCCTCATTCACAATGTGCATCTTGGTAAACAAGGTAATGCAATGCATTGCATTTTTTTTCTTATTTACAATATAGTATTTCTTTCCCAGGTCCGATCTGTCTTTCAATCTGGAGGGCTACATTTTTGTGTTGCTAAATGATATCTTCACAGCAGCAAATGGAGTTTATACAAAGCAGAAAATTGATCCAAAGGTAACTGTGGGGTGATTGGGTTGAATGTAGCAGTGAGCTGCTGTCTTGGTTTAGGGCAGACTTAGGGAAGGGTCCCTCTAGAAAGCAAATTCAAGTGCCCTTCTCCCTACCTCTTCAGGAGATAAACTTCCGTGGAGAAAAGTGAAAAAAAACCTATTTATTTAACAAGCAAAGTACTCACAAACATGAAAAAAATTATTGAGCACTGGAACCTCGCACTGCTCTGAAGAGATGGCAAATTCAGAGAGAGAGACTTCTTGTCATGGGGTGTAGCTAGGCTTGCTCTGTCTCTTACCAATCCCTCTGGCACTAGAAAATGCCATGTCCTGGGCACTGTTGGGTGCAGGTGTGAGCTCCTGATGTTTTTCTGGGTTTTCAGTCCAGAGCAGGTTTGAATAGTTCCAAGAAGAATAAAAACTACAGTCCAGACAATTTCTCTGCCTCAGCTAGCTAAAAAAACTACCTAAAAGCAAAGGAGAGTTCTCTCCCACTGTCCGTGCTGCAGACAACACACGCGGAGAGAGAGAGATGAAGCTCTTATCTCTATGTTCTTGAATACACCTGCCTCAGACATTCCACCACTTCTCTTTTTCCCCCTCTTCACTTTTGGATCTAGTTTTAAAGGCACAAAACTTACTCCTAGGCTAAACAGACAAATGGGGATAAAATTCAGCATCATAAAGTCACCTCAGGACATTAGTCACCCTAGGACACCTACTTATTATATGACCTTTATGTACTTACCATTATGAACTCATAAATAACATCATTTACTTTCACATTCCTGTTGATATATGTATTCTTAATAGAGAACAGCCTAGAAAAAGTTGTTATTTCTATCTCTGGCTAGGCTTTGGTAAGCAAATAGTGTATTTTCTTTTCTCCCAAGGCTTTTAAGCAGAGTTTGTAGTTACTAAAAAAAAAAGCAGACCATAAGCAAACAGTTTATCTCTAAATTTGATATGTATTTACATAGGGATGATGACTTTTTGACTAGAAACACACATTATGTGAGGTTTATGTAAAATATACAGAGAACTGTACAGCCTAAGTTATAACCACAGTAACTGTAGTCGTTTTCGGTTATCTGAAAGCAAAGGCAGGTGTGACAAGGTATTAGGTGATATCTTGATACACATTACTTACGTAAATGTTGGGCAGGCTGCTCTTCAAATGCAGTGCCATGAAACATACTAAGCTATAGCAAAGAGCAGTCTTGGATAGAGGTTTGGTTTCTGACTTCTGTGGTTCACTCTGTACAGCAGAAATATGTCTTTTAATAATCTTAGACATCTTAGTTGATTCCAGACTGCATTTTTATTTATGAGCTGCACTTAACAGCCTCACAATTTTCTGCAAAATACAGGAGAAGAGAGAGGCTGCCGAGATTTTCTAAGCAGTATGACTGAATCTGGAGGAAGAGAAGGCTATTTTTTCATTCTCCTAATTTCCTGCTTTTGTGTCAAGCAAGTTAACCCACAGGTTATATGGCAACCATTAAAAGTTGCATAAAGGTACATCAATTACCAGTGATTACAGAGCTCTATCTATGAGTCAAACTTCATTCATTTTCCTATTATATGTTTTTGTGGTAGAAGGACTAGGTGATTCCTTGGCCAGGCAGAGACTTATGTGAAGTCAACACAAAGCACTTCTGGACCAGTGCTTTTGACAGTTCCTAGTGTTGTATAGAAAGCGTCCAAGGTATAACAGAGCAGTAATACTCTGCTGAGTGCACAGAGTGAAGTGGAAATTCAGCTTAGTATAAAACACTGAATCCAGAGATTGCAAGTTTGTATTTTGAATTGAGATGTATTCTATTCTGTTTACTCATAGTAATGTCAGAAGAATTACCAGAGTAATTTGTAGTATTTTGCTACCAAGTGGCTTTTAGTGCCAAACACCATGTTTCGTTTTTCACAGGAGTTGGGAAAATATGGTGTCCTGTTTTATAATGCTTGTTTCATGGTGATTCCAACAGTTATTATTAGCTTTTCTACTGGAGACTTTCAGCAGGTAAGTAGCAATATTGCATATCTCAGACTGATAATGTTATTTTGTTCAGATTTCATCTGGGGAGTGAGAGGGGCTTTTTGTTTGTTTCTGAAGAGGTAATCCTCCCTCTATGTTAGTGATTAGTGTTTGAAAAGTGTTAGACTTCTCCTTCACAGGTAAGAACTTGTGATTATACATTTAAGGAGAAGCTAAATTTGTGTGATATTCCTTATTTGAGTCTTTGTCTAGGAACTAAGGTATGTTCAGGGACACCCAGCTGGAACAAAAGGTTGAGAATCCAGCAGCAGTGTGTGATTTGCCACATGCTCTAAAACAAGATTGCAACTATACAGACAATTTCCAGTCTTTCTCTCATTCTGATGTCTAGGGCAGATTTCTGTTTAGTCTCAGTCTAGTTTGGTAACCTACATTGTGCATTCTCGTAGAATGAGAGCAAGACTCTCCCCAGGTAATCCTAATACAGTATCTGTAGGCAGTATGTTCTGATACATAAAGTATCAGACCAGAAGGTATTCCTGGCTCCCTCACAGACTTGCTGAGTTGCATTTTTTGTAATGGTTGAATGAATCTAGTCACTCACATTCCTTTCAAGAAATGTTTTACTTTTGCCATGGAAAATTCTTTGGAGGGCGTAATAAATCATTGTAGTGTTCTTTGTTGTATGTTGTGCCCTGAACTCACACAATTTTGTCACTGTGTTCTTAGAATTCTGCTTTAAGCAGAAAAATTATGATTCCCTGAAAATGCTATAATTAGGTCTGCTGTGAATATGAAATTTCTTTATGTCGTCAGTCCAGTATGACCTTGTGCCAGTTTAGAAAAATGCAGCTGCTGCCTATCTTGGAAAAGGAGCCCAAGTTTTTATCGCTGTAAGATTTCAACTGCTTTTCCAGCACACAGAGTTGGAGATATTTTGGGAGACCTGATCAGAGAAGTTTATCTTGTTGCTAGGTTTACTTCAGGGGAAAATAGGGAGTGTGTTGTGCCCACTGGCTAATTTGCTGTAAACATCTTAACGCTCAATTCCTGAAGAGAATAAATATCTATTAAAGACATTGTGCTTGCTGGGCATCACGTTGGTTTGGTCACTTAAAAATAGAACTCCTACTAAATGATGCAGATAACTGTGTTAGTGTGACACACAAATGAAATCACAGAGAAAACAGAGAAAATGGAAAAATACTGATGATAAGTCAACAAACTATTGTAGATAACCATTGCACTTTCACACCAGTTTTTACCCTGGCAGAGCTTCTTGCCTCGACCTGTCACAGCCTAACATCTTCTGCTGTGAAGTCAAAACATCAGTATCATGTCTATGTGATAGGGACATGCTTCTACTCCTCTAGCTAGTTCTGTAGCCTTGGAGAGATTATTAAGTGTCCAAGTTACTAATTACTCCTCCACGAGCTGGCTCACTGTGAGAACAGGAAAGCATGATGCAATATAAGGGGAAGGAAGCCCCAGAATGGCTCTCTGTTATACTTGGCAGCTTCTTGTTGCACACCAGTAAAATTCTGGCAGGGCAGAGCTGCTCAAGATCCTTTTTACCTGTTATCTCACATGTTGGAGACTCAGCTGGTTCTTATCATGGACTAATGGCCTTTATTCTGTTTCTCAGGGATGTGTTCAGCCTTAGCTGAATTTGTTGTTTATGTAGCAAGTGTAAACTAACCAGATCAAAATGAGGCATATCTAGGAGTTGCTAGAGAAGGAAAAGAATCTATGACATGTTTCTAAGTGACTGTGTGGCACTGTGTGTTTGTTTGCTGCACTTCACTAGAGAGGGTACTTCAAAACAATTGAGCCTTTTCATTGCTCTTCATTATTGAGTAATGCTCAAAAACAGGCTTGGGCCACGAAAGCTGCTCATGAATGAATCTGTGGTGTGGAAGAGATTTAGAGGACATTATTTATGTATTTGCTGTTTCTGTCCATCTCCCATCAACACTAGTTATTATGTGTTACTATTCACAGTGTTAGTATCTGTCAGTAAATAGCAAAACACAATTTTCTGTATTGCATTCATGTTCATTGCTCACAGTGTGCTCTTGTGTATCTGCACTGCTCTACATGTGAGAAATACACGTCTAGGTATTAGGGATGCTGTCATCCTGCTGTCTGTCAAGTTAGATGCATTAAACTGTTTCCAGAAGTAAAAATGGGTCATAATTTTGGTATGAATTAAATGTATTTTGTGAATTTACATATTTGCATATTAAGTACATTTTATATGTGTTTACAGTTGATTATATAGCACATAATTCTCTCTCTCTTTCTCTCTTTTTAATAGGCAACACATTTCCAGCACTGGACAAATTTTTTATTTGTCTTTCAATTTATTCTTTCCTGCTTGTTGGGGTAAGGACACAGGGGAATAAAGCAGGTTGTTTTCATGTCAGTGTTTCAAAATGCAAATCTCAAATATAAGACTCACGAATAAGTTACATTAAAGTTCAGAGAAAATGGGGTTTCCCCCAGGGTTATGTCTTGACTTCTAATTACTTCTAATGATGCAAATAACTGTTCAGTGCTACCTGGATTTTTGACCTCACAGTACAGTGCTGAACAACAATGATCTGTGCTGTCTCTTCTGTCTGTCTCTTCTGATCATCCAACTTCTTTGCAGTTAATAGCATGTAAGTCCTTGAGTATAGGAACTGTTTCAGTGTGTTTGTTCTTTAAAGCAGCTGGAAAAGTGTGGGAGACTTAAAAGTAATGAAACAATGCTTTGTTCCTGTTGAAACTGCAGAGTCAAAGGAAGAAGGAATTGCATCCTATTCTTCTCTTCCTCATCATAACCAAGGGGTGAAACTAACTTCAAATACTGACATATAAACAGCACAGAGAAATGGGTTGACTCTGCTAGAGCTCAAGTAGCATATTTTAACGTATATATTTTGAATATTCTGTATGTGCACATCATTAACTTAAATTAGAGATTCACAGAAATTCTTTTACAAGGGTTTGAAACAGGTGGGATTATAGATTCCAGAAAACTACTGATCCAGGTAATGTTTAATATCTTGAAGTAATGTTAAACTTCTTAACGCCCTGGGAGGAATTTATAAAATTTTATTCTTTGTTTAGGTTTCTCTTGATGTATTCTACTGTCCTGTGCAGTCATTACAATTCTGCACTCACAACAACAGTAGTCGGTGCCATCAAGGTGAGTTATGGACCAGAAGAGGGAAATAAAAATGCTCTAATAAACAGGAAAGAGCATTGGCTCAGCAGTGATCTTGATTCTGCTTTGACATGGAAACTCAAAATCAGGGCTAATATTGAGATACTGCTTGTGCCAAACAAGGTCACACCACAAAGTGACCCTGTTCTCTTGCCTTCAAAGTCAGGTATGCTCCAGAAAACATTGTTGGTATTGATCTATTTTTATTTCTTCTACAAGAGAAACTGGAACAATTTTAATTAAAAGGTGTACATTTAGCCACATTTCATCAGGCAGTATCCTGTGCTTCTGTTGTTTATTAGGTTATTGTGTGTTAGTCGAGATGCCCTGATGCAAATCCAGGTGAACTGATGGGAGCTAATTTTTACTTTGGGCTAATCTAATTTCCTTTGCAGCTGAGACATAGGGTTTGTAGAGATACAGAATAATGACTAAGCTCAAGTACGGAGTGTGCTGTATGGTTAAGTGCCTCAGCCTCTGTGTGAGAACCTATGTTCTAGCTGAACAGACTATTTAATTTTGGTTTGCACAAATTCTGGTCAGTTTGATCAACACTAAAACATGCACGTATTAAAAATTGAACCCGGTGTCCTTACAGTCTGTTTTCTTTAACCCAATTTAATTTAAAACTGTGCATCTTGCTTTGTATTGATGAGGACAGCATGTCTAGGAACATCCCTGACTGCCCATGTGCTTTTTTGTAGGCCAGTTTGGGGAGAAACACAGAACTACAAAGCTGAAAGAGCTTTAGTAAAGACAAAACGCATGCAGCTGTGGGCAAAACATTTTCAGAATTCAACTAGCTTAACAGGAATAACAGTACTAAAAGTGCTTCTTTCCATGACTAAGGAAAACAATACATTCACCATAACAAAATCTGCAAAAGGAAGGCAGTACTTCTCTTTCTACATCCTTTTTCTTTTTTGAAAGCTGCGAGATTAATCTAGTAGTTTTCATTCTGTTGTCCTGAAAGCATTCTTTTAAATTTTATATGTCTGCATCAAACCATTAATTCAGGGCAAGACTATTTCTATTTTCTTAGCTGTAATGGTCTTTGACACATTTTAAACAGCTTTAACATTGAGAAGCAGGTTATGATGCAGCAGTCTCCATCAGAGACTTGTAGAGACAGATGTCATTATGCAGACTAGCTGCTAAAACAATTGAAAGCAAAAAAATGTTGGTAAAATGATCACACACTTCTACATTTTTCCTTCTGTCTTTAGGGGTCTATTTTTCCAAAACTTGATGCAGGTGGGTGAGAGGTAGAATTTTTAACTTTAAGCTGTGCCTGTCTTGAGCCTGTACCAAGTGATTTCAGAATACGTGTAGTTGGAAAAGTAAGCAGATAACCCTCTTAAGGTAATAATGTAACTTTTACTATAACTTTAAGGCATCCTTTTTATGCTGGAGAACCCAAAACCCACTTTGAAGAAATGAGATTTGAATTCCAAAGATAATAAAGAAATAAATTTCAAAAGGTGACCTTAGGTCCATTTTGCCTAATATCAAATAGTTTTGTATTTTTTTTCCTATAAAGTTACTGTGCATTGTATACATTTAGAAAATATACTGATCTTATTATTCTTTTTATTGCTACATTATCCATAAATTGACATCCATTAAATTAGTTTAAAGGATTATTTTAGAGTGGTCAGCAACACAGTATAGCTATTTCCTTAGAAAAGTGATTTGGTTGATATTGTTTGTATTCATGGAGATGATATCTGACTTAAATAAATGCATGACTTTTGTTTCCTTTCAGAATATATCCATTGCTTACATCGGAATGTTGATTGGTGGAGATTACATATTCTCCATGTTAAACTTTGTAGGGCTAAATATTTGGTAAGTGAAACTTGAATAGCCTTTATTTATTAAAGCTGAAAATTTCTCAGTGAGTTCTAGTTTTATATTTAATTTGATTTGACTCAAAACTATTCAGGTGATGTAGTTTTGAAACTACTGGCTGACAAAGCACTCACTGCCTCAGGATGTAGAAGTCATTACAGTTAGTTATGTCTTTCATGTCTGTTTTCAGACATTAAATATTGCTGTGGTAAGGCCTAATTGTGGAAATACGCCTGCAGTTTTACTGTGTGGAATTTTTAATTTTTTATGAGCAGCAGTTCTGCGCTGTGAGGCTTCCAAAAGTCAGGTGTGGTGTGTTAAGTGAGAGCATTGACTGAATGAGTTGTGCCTATTGAATATAAGTGCTAACTTGTGAGTGGTTACTTTCTATGCTTAGATGATCACCTGTGTGTATCAATATGTGTGAGCAACTGGTAATTGATCTTTGTCTGCTTGGACCTACTTTCTCAGATGGGTTACATAGCTCTTAGGCACTCCTAGTTTATGATAGCTGGTGTTCTTTAGCTCTTCAGAAGGAAAGGTACGTACCTATGAAATGAGATCTGTAACATCAGACATCTTTGACACCACTGTTCGTTCTCTTTTGTTTAGTATGGCAGGAGGACTGAGATACTCATTTTTAACATTAAGAGGAAACAGCAAGCCTGCACAATCTGGGGATGAAGAGAATGCACTTCCAATGTCAAAGACTTAGACAAAATGCCTGCCTTGAAAGAGACTGAAGAGACAAGTTTGTTTAGCATTGCCAAGACTTTAAATAAGTATATCCTGGAACATATTTGCAACAACAAAAAAAAATCTACCTCAGTTGTCACAGACATGCACACAATTCACTGGCTCAGGAATATTCTTGCGCACCATTTTTTTACATGCAAACTAGTTTGATTTTAGTTTTTTCTTCTTAATCTAAAAGCCATTTTATAGCAAGGAATGCTATGAGCAAATCTTAAGTTGTAAACTTGTGCATTTACCTGTACTTGGGTGCTATTTCAACAAGATCTTTGAGTTTTGTTTCAGTGACTGCCTGTATTTTCTTGAGGCAAAATTCCCTGTAAAGATCATGAGGCTTAATTTACCATTGCCTTATGCCATATGCAAACCTAGATATCAGTGTGGAGATGAAAGATCCTAGTGATTTCACGCATGCATGTGCTCTTCGGTAAGTGATATAGAATGTATGGGACCGGCAAAGAGGATATTTGCCCCCAGATTGTTCCCTGTGTAAGTGTCAACGAAAAAATACAGGCTATGTCCATGTGTGTACATTGTTTAGGCATTCTCTCTCTGTGTTTTTCTCATCCTCAATATCACACTGTGGTGTTCTGCAGAAATTGTCACTGTTGTTATAAATGAACCTCATAACCTCATGCAGCAGATCAAGGAGAGAAGGGAAATGACAGGGGATTTTTTAATATTTGAAGATTTGTTTGTGCGTGTGTGTCTGTGAGCCAGTACCAGCAAATCTATTTTTGTTAAGGTACATTTTTCTTTTTATATCACATTCCCCTCCTCTCACCTTTTATCTGTAACCACCTAGCTGCAGAGACGTGGTGCTTCTATGTACAAACATAGTAGGGAAGGGAAACATAGATATGTGGAAGACTGACTTGTGTTTAAATAATGGCTAGTGTCCTGTTGTGTCTTGTATATACAGTAAAAGCTTATCTGGTACTAGTTTATGCTTTTGGTTCTAAGCAAGGAATCATAATGAGCCTGGGGATGACTACAGTAGGCTCAGCTGGTATAGTGATTGAGGCCCAGATGGTCTGAGGGATCATCTGGGACAATAACACCTGTACCTATATTTCAATAACACCTGCATCTGTATTTCTTTCATTGAAAATATTTGATAATGCTTACCTGACTTCTACATTCTCTGAGATAGACTTTTAACCTTTGAAAATGTGGTAGGTGCATTGAAGTGTTCTAAGACAGCAGAGAAATTAATCTTGTTGAAGTTCTCAATTCCCTGCGAGCATGAGCCAAAATTTTTGAAAATAATCAAATCAAAAGAAGGTTTTGAAAGACTTTGACATGGAACCAGGGTGTTCTAATGACTTGTTTGATCACTTCAATTAAAATATAGCTTATCTGAAAATACAGAAAGTCAGAAAACATTACTCTGAATGTAGCACATCCATGACCAGTCTGAATTAGACCTGAGAAACATGTGGGTAACTCACACCAGAAGCTTCAGGGAGTGACTGCCTGCATGGATTTGAATGGCAAGAGGAGCAATGACTGCAGATACTGGAAGTGGCATTTAAAGACATGGTCAAAGTGGGAAGGGAAATCTGAACTGTCAGTTTTCTCACAGCTGGCGAAGAATGTGACTTTCATTTTCTATCTGCTGAAGACCTGTGGAGGGAAAGCATTGCTGCAAATATTTTTCCATGATCTTCTCTTTTTAAAAATGTCCTTTATGCTTAAAAACCTTCAATATTTTTGAGTGTATTCTTTCATAAGGCTCCTCTTTCTTAAGAGCACCTCTACCTCCACAATTTCAATTACTGAACCTTAACTCTCTTCCATGAGGCAAGGTATTGGAAAGTTTTCATTTATTATGAAATTAGTATGAGTGCCATTTGACTGCAATACTGATGAACACACAAGGCACCTGCTAAATAAGATATAGTTCCCACAAAAGAACACTTAACATTTGCATATAATTCATTAATATTTTGCTCTACTTTTTATAAATAAAATGATACAGATGACAGTTTTAACAAGTGTTTTGTTTGGATTTTTTTTTTTTTTTTTTTTTTGGATAGACACATTAAATTGTCCCATACACATGAACAACACTAATATTTGCTTTTTATATTATTAACTCCTTTAGTGTACTTCAAGTAGTTTCTTTTGCTCATTCTGTACCATAGTGAAGTGATTTATTTAATTTCTTGTTCATAGAATGTTTTTGAAGTGCTTCAGACTTAGATTTCTCACCTGAAATACAGACCTGATAATCGTAGTCTTTATGACAGTGTTACTCAGAATAATTTAAAAAATAAATCTAGGAATAACAAGGTACTATATGAAGTACTTGCAGTTGTTACATACTTTCACAAAGAAACTCAGCTTCAGTCCCTTTCTGTTTTCTTCTATATCTGAGATACTGTTGATTTCAGTAAATTTGCTGATTAAAATTCTGTCAATATGGGCTTGACCAGGCACAACTATCGTATTAGAATTTAGGAAATTTCATGGCTGTTTCATTTATAATGTCAATAATTGTGTCTTTCAGTTAATAAGATGGAAACTTAAAACTTATTTTTTAGGATACAGCTGCTTACTTTTCTACAGATTTCATATTAATGAACTTAAGGTTTTAAATATGACCTTCATACCATTACAGGTGTCAGGGTATATTTACAAGGAAACATAAAAAGAAAAATCATTACTGGACTAGAAAAAAAAATATTGTCCTGTACATTGATCTGTTCATGCTCTAAATTTTTTTGGGATTTTTTAGCAGTGACCTTGCTGTAGTTAAGTGAGAAAATGTGGTCACCCAAGGGACTTTCTACCCATTCACTGTGTAAATTTCTTGCCATGATTCCTGTGGAAGTCAGAGAGGCAAAGAAAAAAATTACCTCAAGAAAAAAAAACTTAGACTGAAGAATTCTTCACATTCTTAAGGATTTATTAATTTTCTTCTCATTATCTTGGCCTAATTTACTTGTATTGGGCCCATGACACTATGTAGACCTAGCTGAGACTCATTACCAACCACAGAAAAAGAAAATGGAAACAAAACATGGAAGTGCAGAATAGAAGACTGACAGCTGTGGAAGATTGTGTTTTGATTCCATCATCAAATAAAAAGGATTCTTTTAAATTTTGGGGCATTAATTTACAAGAGGTATTTTTTCCATGTAGAAAACAGTGATACCTCTTCAAACTTAAAGTATTCCTTGAACAGAGTGCTTTTTGGGTTATTTGTGATTGATCATAAATACTTTTGTAAATGTAATATTCAAACCTTTTTTATTTGTTTGGCCTGGCTTACTTAGGAGGTGAATGCTGAGAGGAAAATTAAGACAGCTTTAGTGTGAGAAAACTGGGTTGTCGTTAAGCTAAGTCAGTAATGATTTTTTATCTTCTTGTTACAGATAAGCTAGTGCTACCTTCCATGTGATTCAGACATTGTCTTGTAAAACATCTGCACAATTGTGGGTTTCCGTCTCAAGGTGTCACTAATGTAACACGTTAAATATTTTTTCTGGTTTCAGTGTGAATTTGTCCTAGAAATGTCTGGGCCACAATTTATCTCTTCACTATAAGAAGTAGTATTGATCTCTGTTTGGGGTATTCTTTTTTAAAGGTTTGGTCTAGATCCATCTCCAGTCTCTATGAATGGTAAACAATGACAATAAAATTAATTTTTTGTGTTTGTATAGCTTCCAGAAAAGGAGTGAAACGTTTTCCCTGAGGCTAACATCAGAAATAATTGTTTCGTTTGGATTTTCTCAATAGTTTACTAATGTGGGTGTAATGTAGTGATGTTGTTCTAATCTAAATCCTGGACATTTCCTGGAAAATGAAGTCATGTGACTTGATTCATCCTCTCACTTCTCTGCCAAGGCTCAGAGATGACCAGTGTGCTGGAAAGAAGCATTTTCCATGCAGAGAGTGTCTGACTCATACAAGCTCACTACCTTCTCTCACCATGGACGTGTTCCAGCATCAGCTACTCAGTCTTGTTGGGGGTCTGATCTGTTTCTGTACTTTGACAAATTACATCAGATTAATGAGAGACCTTTTTCCATATATCTGAAGTTCTTTGCCTTAGGTTTTCTTTTGGTCAGTGGGAGAACGTGCAAGTAAAGGAAACTGCTTCACTTTCTGCTTGTAATTGGGTGGTGGATCGTTACATAACTAATCAAGAATGGTTTTCCTTGCATTTCTTTACCCTATTCATTCAGAATGAAACACAGTTTCTGATATGTTTGCTTGGTTCCTTTTTCTTTTCTCATAAAGCTTTGGGTTTATGAACCTGAAGGTTTTGTGTACTGGGGGAGAATAGAAAGCTGGTCAGACTGGTAACAGCTCACACCAGGGTGTGTAGACGTGAATTCTGTCCCTGTTGCTACTTCTGCTGTTTTCTCTCTGCTGCAAATGCTTTTATTTTAGTAGCATTGCCCAGATCTTCAGTTTTCTGGTATGTGAAGCTGCTAATTTATGTCTAGCATATGTTCTCCAGTTTTCAAAGCAACTTTTCTTGTTCCTGCTGATGTTGCTCTAGTGTATTCTTTTCCAAATTGCTGACCTATCCTTAATGATACCATTAATGAACTAATTTTACTTTAATCCAAAATCTTCAAAGGCTGCAGTGTTTTTTAGATAGTATGCATTGTTGTAGAATAACACAGAGTTTGACAAGCACCTGCTTCTTCCTATTTCATTCATTTGTTTCTTAAGCTTGTTAGATGATCAGTATAAAGCAGGGATGAACAGGTGCTGCCGAGTTCCTTGGCTGCTGATGTTGCTGATGGTAGCTTGTTGTTAAGAAGTTACCTGAACAGTAGACTTATGTTTGATTCCTTTTTCCTGCATTAGACTTGATGGGACTAAATATATAAAATTATTACAAATATAGAACACATCAGTTAAGTATATAATTAACTATCGAATACATGTTTAACTGCCACATCTCCTAGTGGATTAATAAAATAAATCCATTCCTGTAGAAGACCTGCCTGAATACCACACACTTCTAAGACATTGCATAGGTCTCATTTTGATTTAAGTGAGGCGAAGACCTCCCTTCTGTGTATGAGATGAGGAACAGCATGTGGAACTTCCTGTGTAAAATCTTTCTTTTCACTTAAGGTTGGAAGACTTGTTTCTTTCAGTTTACCTTATTGCTGTGTTTTTATAAACAAAGTCTTCTGGCCCCAGTAAAATTCTTAGGGCTCAGATAATTTGTATTGTCATGTGGCATGTGAGATTCTGAAAATCATGAAAATTAAAGTTGGCATGTGGAAGCTTGTTTCTCAACAAACTCTTCACTTTTCATCTACAGGTCTGTTAAGAAACTTAATACCTACTGCTTATTCACTGGGATTTAATTTCTCTGTGAAATGAGAGAGTAATTGTTCTTCCGTTGGCAACACCTAACCAGTCAAAACCACTTTGCTTTCTGTGTCTCTGTCAACACAGAAGTCCTTAATCTACTTTTTTTTATATTGACTAGTTTTCCATTTGCTCTAAAACTTACCAGGTTTACCTTGGAACTGCCTTGATGCTTTGCTACATTATTTCTTCAGTATTTCTAAGGTGTTAAGAATTTTTATTTTTATAGTTCCTCTTTGGTATTTATATGCAGAGTTTAAAAGTTCAGGATACTTTACAAATGCCAGGATATGTTTATTTTCACAGTAAGACTAAATCTGAAAGTAAACTGTGTCGTATAGCTCTGAAAGAAGAGCATTTTGTAGGTGGTGGCAAGTTTGATGTGATCTTTCCTTACAGACAGAAATTTTGTGTGAGAAATTGTTTGTATCAGTTTCAGGTAGTCTTTACCTCCTACCATTCTGCCACCAGCATATAAATTCAAAGCTTTCAAAACAGAATTTGTGAAAATACATACATGGAAGAAAATTCTGCCAGCTCTTCATCAATTGACTTGTTGCTTGTGGACATCACTGAAAATGACAGTAATAGCTACCTCCTTTACCACGTGGGCTACCTTGGGAAGAGATTTGCTTTAAAGACAGAAAGTGCTGAATGAACTAAGAGATGCTTAGGTCACAAAGAAAAAAAAAAGTAGAAGACTGGTTCTATTCTTCAGTGGAGACATTTAGGTTGTATCATTCAGGAAATGCAGATGATGAAGATTAAACAATTCAGAGAGAAGAAGCTAAACCAGAGATCCAAATGTAATCCGTATCCCTTTTGCTTTCTCCAGTGGTCACAGGAGCAGGAGATGATAGGATTGGAAAAGCATATTCTTTCAGGTAAAATAGATTACCTACCTTTCATTTTACCTGAATAAAATGACAATTGCTATCCCTCCATCAGTTCTTCAAATTAGTAAAATTATTCTGGAATTCAAAGCTACTGTGACAATCATGGTCCTAATCTTTCTGTCCTGTATAACCAACATTGCTTTAGTCAGATTCTAAAAGGAAACCAGTGGTTCCTTTCAGAGGAAAGTAATTTGGGCCTCAGTGGTCTCATCAAACCAGGGAACTAAAATGAGTGATTCAAAAGAGGGTCTATTGTCTGTCCAGAGAAGGAAGTCTCCTAAATTGTCCCTTTTCTCCCAGTTTTACAGCTAATCTGCAATGGACTGGTCCAGTATTAACACACAAAATGCAGTTTTGTGGCATTTACACTTGCAAACACATATTGAAAATTTTATCTGAAATAACGAATAGAGGAGAAACTTGTGTAAATTAATATAAGCTACAAGTTATGGAAAGCATAAGGAATCCTAATGGTTTAATTCAGAATCAAGAGCTCTAGGAGGCTGCAAGAGGAAGAGGATCTCTGTGCTGTCCCTGTAGCTGCTGCTGTGCAGAGTCACTGTAGCAGTACCTTCCATTAACCCATGGTAGTCAGCACTGAGGGCAGGCTGGCATTGTGTTGTATTGTGTTGTACCAGCCTTGCTATTATTGATTGTGACTGAGCAGTACATTTTCTCCTTGGTGTCTTTCTAAACTGCCTCCCTTTCTAGAAGCTAAACAGCAATGAATCAAGAGTTGCTGTCTTCAGGGCTGAGGTGACTAAGTGGCAAAGAGCATCCTGTAACATGCAAGAGTTTAGATGTGATGCCTTCTGCTCAAAGTCTATAAAATATATTTCACAGGAAAAAAAAATTCTTAAATTAATTTGCAAGATTTTTGCACTAGTCTTTTCATTATGCATTGTTTGAACACGTAGATATCTTATGACTGCCATTGCTGGGAATGGCAATACAATAACTACTTTTGAAAGAACACTGAATGTAGAACACTCAAAGACAAATACCAGGTATTAGAGTTTAACATTTGGCATAGTTGTGGAAAAAACCCCATGGGAGAGAAGGGAAAATGCTGTCTCCTGTCTACTCGCTGAGTTGAAGTATTGATAATAAATGGGTAGGGTCTGATGAATACATAGGTCAGGGGAATGGGATGGGATCAATACAGGGAGAGCAGGCATCAGAAATGCCTAAATATTTTTGTCATGTCTCTGGGCGAAGTCCTCTGTTTATGATGCTGAGCTAATTTTCTGTGTGAGCACCTGGTGATATTTTATCCATGTGAAGCCTGCAAGAACCAGTGAATTTCTAGATTGCAGCCTCTGTCATTGTTCTGCTTGTTTGTGCTGTACGGGTTGTGTAGGATATCCCATTAAATGGCCAGCTATAACGTGAATGGCTGCATTATGCTGTAAGAAAGAGTAAACCCACTGCTGTCCTTTTTTAAAACTTGGCTAGAGGTGGATAGATTTTGTGGAACATTTGTTCATTATTTTTGGCATTAGTGGGATGACTGTAAGCCATCTTTATCCATGCGGAGATGCACCATCCTCTCCAGGTGGTCCCTTTGGTTGAAGCTGTGCTCAGCTGCTGCTCTGTGGGACAAATCCCAAGCCCACAGCACATGAGCTCATAGTTTGGCACATCATCTTGCTGGCTGAAGTAGAAGCACACACTTGTGTGTGGCTTGTAGATAAATAAATCTGATCCTGCTGTTTTAATATTTGTGTGCCTTCAGAGGCTCTGGCTCAGCACTGCTGTCTTGCTGCTCTGATGTCAGGATACAAAATTCTCTGATATTCTTCTGGTGTAGGTTCCTCTGGAGTTGTGTGCTGATGTGAAGGCAAGCCTTGTTTGATAGACACAGTCTTCTAGAGTATGAGTTCTGATGTCAAGGATTGAATTTCTTTCTGATGTCCTGAGCTCAGGCATGGGCTGATAATGAGTCACAGCTAATTTAAGGACTCCACACTTGGTAGTGTATGATACAGGATTCTAAGGAGAGCTGGTTTTGTGTTTTGGAAGGCTAGCGGAATGTGGTTTCCTCTGTTTAGTTTTATGTAGAGATCCCAGTAGGTGGTTCATTGGATAAAATTCAGCAGGCTGAGGTCCAGAGAGAAATTACAGTATCTGCAGGTTCCATACTCCTGTTTCCAAGGTTTATGCCTAGATACAGGACTCTGCAAAGTCTCTTAAGCTCAAAAGCTGTCTGGGGCTGTATAAAGAAGCTGGCGGCCATGAGGTCTCAGAATACTACTTTGTTGATGTCAGGACACAGACCTTTTGTTTCACAAGCTTGTATTGAGAGGCAAGCAGATGTGGAACTCGAGTTTATCCTCTTCTGAATGAATATCCAGGCTTCTCTGAAGTCTCTATATGTATTTTGAGTAGATGAGTTGTTTTGAATGACTGACCTTCTTGAAGATGAAGACCCTCACCTTTTAACTGGCTGCTGTGATGTCAGAGGAATTTTGGATCTAGATTGCTCCATGTACATGAAAAGCCAGGCTTCTGTTACACTCGGTCCATCAGTTCTTGGGCTGATAGGGTTTAAACTCACCAGACTTCCAAGAAGAAACAAAAGTAAGTCATCTGTGAGTCTGCTGCTTGTCTGTCGTATCTACTCAAGGATTAGCATTTCAGGTACTGATGTAGTACTGTTTGCTCTGCTTATGTGGTATAGTAACTACAGATGTGCTTTATCATCTGATACTGACGTAGCACTTCAGACATACTGGACAAGGCCATGGCGTATTCTGAGATTTATGGTTTGGCCTCTTCACACTTCTCATGTGATATCAGGGCATAAGCAGGGTGTGCTTTGGCTCATGTGGTCACCGTTCTTGTTACTGTTAATAGTTCATCACTCTCTTATAAGTCAGGCCAGTGCTTGTGTTCAATCAGTGTTTCAGCAGACCATTTTGAGACAGACCTCATTCGTCTAAGATTAATTCATTTCCTAATTTAATGGCTCCTCGAATCTTAAATATTTGTTTCTTGTCCTGAAATTCTGTGTAGTATTACCAGCAGTATAATACCTGTTAAATATGATTGAGTTTTCCTGCCCTGGTTTCAAAGTATTCTATTTTCTCCACTTCATCTTGGATTTATTCCTGGAAATACTGCTGTTCTCCTTGCATTGCACAGAGCATGCAGAGCTAGCAGAAAAATTGCTGGATCATCCTGCTCTGTCATCTCAGTTCTAGTCTGCTGGACCAAAACCAGGGTTGAAATATTTGAATCAGAATGAATGAGTTTTTGATTTTTATGAATTCTAGGGACCCTAGAATTCTGAGTCCCAGTTAAAAAAACACAAAAGGTGAAACATGGATCATATCAGTACAGTCCTAGAGAAGGATCTCTTCTCTAGGAAGGTGAAGATTGCTGTAGGCAACTACAGATTCCACAAAGCATTAACAAGGATTTTAAATTATTAGATCTAATGACCCATGTAGAATATAGTGAATTTGTCAAGGTAAATGTAGCAGTCACATGCAGTAGCAGTCATGGTTTGAATTTAAAACCTATCTTTCATTTCATGGAGCTTTATTGTTTAAAAAATCAATTCAGACTGAGCTGCAAAAACATACTAGAAAGTGCAGAGGGATGTAATACTCTTTTAATGTAGGTTTGAAGTTTTTAATCATGCATTTTTGAGATCCCGGAGTGCTGATTCTGCTTGAATTTTCTGCATCATTACCCCTGTTTCTAAATGCTTAGTTGTCATGATTCTTTATGGCTGGAGTTGTTAATAATGATCTTACATTTAGGCAGACTGAGTCTCAGAAGCATTTTAGTCCTTTGCCACTGGGAGTCAGGATTTCCTAACATATGCAGCTTCCCATTACAGACTGGCTGGAAGCCTGTGCTTATTCTTTACTGTGAAGGGAAACACCCTTCTTTAACATCAAAGCCTTTGTATATTAGGAAAAGTCTTTGTGCTAAAGACATCAACACTAAAAGTTACTGTCTTTTGAAATGTTAAGCCAAGTTTAATCTTTCCTGCATGGGACCAGGGAATTCTAAGGACAATTATTTTTGTTTGCTTGAGGATCTCTTTGTATCTCATGGTAATTACAGTGTCCTACAAAACTTGTTTCTGGAAAAGATGCACATTTTCTGTGTGGGTGAGGAAGCAAAAGAGACTAGTCAGAGATTAGTCAAAAGAGACTAGAGACTTCCTTTGCCTTGACTTCTGGTTAGTCTGGTGCACAGCAGCAAGAGAGGTTCCTCTCACCTGGTAGGTAACACTTTTATAAGGTTGCCCTAAATATGTGCTTTTAGGTGAACTACAATGCAACCTTAGCAGTAAGAATCCTTTTATATTTAGGTTTTAGGAGGGGGTTTTCTACCAACTGACATACAGAGAGAAATCTATGATACTGAGAAGCCCAGTGAGCCAGGACTTTTTTTATTGTGTGTATTACATGGCTGGTAATTGGTCTTGGGTCTGAAGATGCAAAAGTCTAAACAATCCCTATGAAAACACCCCCAAATGAGAGAAAGGAGCAAGTGACCCTGGAAACAGAGACCATACCTCTGACTGAAAATGCCTTGAGTCAGATTCCTTACAGACAATGGAAAATCTACCAATATCTAGGCAATTATAGTTCTCCACTTGAGAGCTTCAAGTGGAGTATTTAAAGCAGACTTTTGAAACCACAAAGCACCCAAGTCTGTGCAGGTGTTTATGGAGCCCTGATCAATTATGTTAGAGGATCTACACAACACAGAATTGTGAGAAAGGCTGAAAATGCAAATGATTGTGGCTGATGCCTTTAGCAGGGCAATACCCTTGTACTCTTGATGGAGAAAATTTTTAAGCAAAGGTCCTTATTTCTTAACATTCTCTGCATTGTCTCATGAGAACCCAACAGAATAAACTGTTTCCTCAAATAGTTTTAAGGAGAAAGTGTTGCAGCGAGTCAGCTATAGAAATTAATGGAATTTCAGTGGATGGCCTTTGGCAATTATTTCTTCTTCCAGGCAAATCAGAAGGTTCTTTCAGATGATATAAGCTTTATGTTTTGTGATGGCTAATTTAGCTCTCTTTCTCCTTTCTCTCACAGGCATTTTTCTAGTTTTAGTTTTATCTTTATACACTCAGCTCAGCTGACAATTGTTAATAACTTCATTTCAAAAACTGGGGCCATGATCCTTTCTCTGACTTTGCCTAAAAATCTGATGGGAATGGGGGGCCTCAGAAAATCAGGAGAAAACCATTCTATGTTTGTTCTGCACATGGTTGTGCCAAACCGACCATAAATGGGTCGTCATGTTAAACAGTGTTTGCAGCTATAGGATTCCAGCTATTGCCAACGTCTTTGTGGATACACATTTTTGTGACTCTGTTTTGAGTACTTATGTGTATAATTCACCTTTTTTCCTTTGATTTTTTTAATATTTATTTCTTTTAAATTTGCATCTAGTTAAAAAATAAGGAAAAAAAGCAGTTAAAATTTATCCATCAAACCTGAATCGAATCTAATTTACATTCAATAAAAAATAATAAAATCCAAATCTTTTTTAGCTGTTGGGCCTTCAATTCAATAGGCTTAATGTACGTCCTCAGGAAAGAAATATGATGATGGAAGGTGATGCTGTAAAATGACTGGAAAGCCAGCAACATGACTAGGCTCCCAAACCCAAACAAAAGTAAAAATAAAAACAAAAATGTATTTCTGAGAAATTTCATGTGATTTTCACTCCCTGAAGACTTTCATTCATTTGAAGTTGGCTCAAATTATTTTTATTTTTATATATTATTGGGATTTGATTGTTGTCCTGTATATGTTTCTTGTAAGAGTCCAAAATTATACAGTGAAGGAAATATTCTGGAAGTCTCAAGAAGACTGATTATTTTTTGGCCTGGTTTTAACATCTCTTGTTTATCCATTAGGCAAGTGACAGGTGAATGAAAATTATTTCAAAATTCATTATTGCTGTGTTTGCAAAACTGTAGAAAATGGAAATATTCTTCTTGCCTTTTTGTTTCCTAACAATTTTATATTCCTCTCTTCACCTGGCAATATATCATTATAGTGATGACAAGGAGAGCTTTTGAAAAACTGAATTTGATAAGCATTTTTCTCAAAATTATCCTCCCATTTGCCAGGCGGGCTTTTCTCTTCTTATCTAGCACAGCAGGGTGCTGGATATTGCTACAGCTGTACCTCCAAGTATTTCTCCAATACTAAAAAGTTTTTTATATTACTCTGTCCCTTGAGCTCTTCTAGACATGGATCACTCTAAAAATATATGCTTTCTTTCAAGAGTGTAATGGGCTGAAAAAAGTGAATGTGTGCTCTTTACTTTCTTTATCTGCCCTTAAAAATCTGTAAGTACAGATAAATAGGTTACCTTTAAAGTTGTTCTTGGAAGAGAGCAGAGGACTAAAAATTAAATCACAGTACCAGGTTTGTTTTTTGGTTGGTTGGTGGGTTGGTTGGTTGGTTTTTTAAGGCTTTCAGATTACATTTGGCTCTTGATGAAACAGTTAAATAGAGTGCCTTTAGAATTAATGTTCCCTTTCTTTTCTTCAAAGGAAATTAACCATTAATCCTGGTGAATGTCTTGTATAAATACTTTAAGATTGACAGTTAGAATTTATTTAGGAGTCAAGTGAGTTTTTATCCTCCATTAACTTTACAGATTGCTAGAATGAAAATCATTCTTTCCACTGTCTCTTTTTCTATACATGGCTTCTATCCAGCAGATTACTTGATTTACATGTTTAAAAGTATGTGTCAGCCCAAGACTATATCTGTACAAGTTGGGAAGACTTGCCTTTAAGAAGGCTTAGCAGCTGAGTCCAGCAGAGTATCAGGTCCAGGGTACTTACCTAAGAGAGCAGCACATCTGTCTGGAGTGTGGCAGACTTGGGTTGAAAAAGTCTGCAAATTTTCAACCTGCAGCTAACAAAATCAAGGAATGGACCCAGAAGTTTTCTATCCAACATGCCTCTTTTTTTTTTTTTTTTTTTTTTTTTTTGTGGGGCTGATAGGCTTATTTTCCCGTGGAAAGCAAGGGGTATCTGACAAGGAAAGCTGTAAATTCCTTTGCACTACGAATGAGCACAAGGCCACCCACTGGACGCCTTCCTAACTGAGGCCACGCTGCACTGCAGTGTGTTGCAGCATGTAATGAAGGACTTGCCTGTCCTGCAAACACTCCTACACCTTCTGCACACACCCATGGCTTTTCAGTTGTTCAGTGACAGCTCCAAGGTTCACTGACAGCAGCAGTGTTATCCATGTAATCCAAGGTGCGGGGAGCTGTGTTGTGTGACCCCAGAAGTCAGGCTACACTGATGAGGTTTAGACACTGTTCCACCTGGTTGTGGTCACAGCCTGTCCCACAACTTGCTGAAATAGGTGGCAAATTCCAGTGGAGTATTTCAATTGTTTTCAGCAGGTTTTAGCTGAAGTCCAGAGTGAGTCATCTGTTATTTATTGTGTCAGATTGGAAATTAGTATCTTAATAACAAGTAGATGGCACAAACAAAAGGAAAGAGAAAAATACAGCAATGAAAAGCATAGAATATCTAATGTGAATGCACTAAAACCAGCAGGGAGCTCTGGACGCATTACTCATTTTTCATTTTTTGAATATCCACACAATAGTTTTTTGCAGTCCATTGGACATTATACTGAAAAGACTTGGTCCATTTTCAAGCTGATTGTATTATTTGCTTAATTATACTGCCACATCTGCTTGGATACTGAGTGCTATAAATTAGAAGAGTCTAAACTGTGGTAATTACAGACATCTCAATGTTTGGTTTTCCAAGATCTGTGGGCCACAGGTGTGCCTGAGAACAGCACTCCGAGCTGGAACCGACAGAAATCCACAGTAAGAAAAACATTTCTCCAAAGACACAATGGATTTGAAAACCAGATTTCCATTAATTCAGACTGGAAAGCTCTTTTAAAATGAGATAAAAAATACCAAAGTAGGTGTTACAGAGGGCAGACAGAATCACTAGCACAGGTATACTGCTCATTTAACACATTTAGTACTGTAGTTGTGAAACATTGATCAAACCACAATACCAGGGGATTAGAAATTATGGAATGCTACTAACAGCAGTCCTGTTTAATTTCTTCTGCTTATTTTTCCTGAGCCAGCTGTACAGGCAGAGCTAGGTCCTGTTTGCAAAATAATGCATTAGGATCCATTTATATGTTCAGGATCTGTACCATACTGTTGTTTTAGCCAAACAAACAAACAAACAAACAAACAAAGCCACTTCTGCAAGGTACAAAATTCATCAGCACAAGTGCAGTGTTGGTTTGTAGGGTTTGATAGGGATTTTTATTTTTTATTTGTTCTGATTGGTTGTTTTGGTGTTGGTTTGTGAGTTTTTTTTTTTTGGTTGGTTGTTTTTTTATTTGTTTTGGGGCGTTTTGTGTTTTTTCAGTAGAAACAAGTATTTTTTAAATGAAAAATAAGGTGTGTCATCCTCAGATGCAATGAAAATATAGCTGTAGCACTTTAGATTAGCAGAGCACACAGTTAAAGAATTTGGATTTGGTGATGCAGGAAACTATACAGAAATTATGTCTGCTGATATAGAATTAAGTACTGAATAAAAAAGGAACCCACACAGCCCAGGACAAAATATACCTTACTCCCACAAAGACCTGTGAAGATGCTATTTCATTCAGCTGTCCTTTATTATCTTTTCGGTAAATTGCAAAAAGCAGCACATTATACTATCTGACAGCAGATTCCCAAGTGGTCTAAGGTCAGGACAAGATAGATGTAAAAGTCTTAGCAATACATGTTATAACACATTGACTTAACCAACTTGGTTCTACTTTTAATTTTCCTTAAATTAATTTCTGCTCCATTATTTAAAATAATTTTTTTTTTTTTTTTTTTTTTTTTTTTTTTTTTTTTTTTTTTTTTTTTAAAGAAAAAGAAAATAACCTGTCCTGGTGTTTGAAAAGCTAGGCTTTTTACTTCTAGGACACTTAGGGCTTTTAAACAGGGATGTAATGGCTTGTATGTTCAAAGACTATCATAAATCTGTCACAGAGAGGGAGAGACATAAGAAACATTGGAAATTGTTTTTTGGCTCTTTCCTTTGCAGAATTGCTGTAATTTTCTGAAGAGCTATCCCTGGGTAATTCATTTGTCAGCATGAGAGTTTTATTGTTTTTTAATATATTGGTTTATTCTTATAAGAGACGGAAGAAAGCCATCTGGAGTACTTGTTTGTTGGCTGACAGTGCTGGTTGCAGCCATACAGTTCTGTACAGACAAGGAGTTGCAGAGAAAGTCCAAATGGCTTGTTTGATCCTCATTTTTGTGCTCTAGTTTTGGCTGCCCTTCTGATTGCCCACGAGAAAGATGGCCACAACATCACTATACTTTTTAAGACCATCTCATTTTGTTTATAGAGCTCTTCAAACAGAAGGTCACTGTAGGTGTCTGCTCCAGCTGTTGCTCTGTTCTTTCCCACTCACTGCATTTACACTCACAATGTCCTTTTATTTATAGTTTCGCCATTCGCCCAGCCTGGGACCATGACGGGGTCATTTGCCACTAGAGTTGCTTTTGTAGGTTGAAGGTTCAAAGGATGTTTTGTCCCTTTCATACACAGAGCTGCAGCTTAGAAAGAGGGCAAGAAAAAGGGCAGTCCTTCCTCCTTTCTTCTGCCATGGAGACAGATGTCCTCTAAAACTGCACACAAGATGCAACTCACATTTCAGATCTGCAGTCAGTGTGCTTGCTGTTTCCTCAAACTTCATTACTTGTATGAAGGTGGTCAAAACTTGCAGTTTGCAAAGAGCTTTGAGGGGCAAAGAGGAACAACTGGAAGGGAGCAACTTTATATCTTCCTCCACTCCAACAGAGGTTCTGATTTGTTGCAAACTGGCCTGCTGGACCCAAAGCCAGCTTTCTGCATGCTTGCTCTCCCACAGGAGCTGGCACAAGGCCTCTTCTTAGTGGATGAGACAAAATTTCTGGGTAATGATTCAGCAAGTCTGACTCTTATTCCAGGCAATGCTCTCTGTCTTCTGTATGATAAAATCAGAATACAAACCAGCAAGAGACATTTTGCCAAATGCCATGTGCACTTTTTGCCATGAGTGTGCGCCTGAATTCCTGCCACTTGCAGACAGCCTGCAATCTGATATTCTATTGACATTTCCAAGCTTTGCCTGTCACTTTTTCAGCAAACTTCGTCTGGATTTCAGGTTGCCCATAAAACTTGAAAGTGGATTTAGTAACAAAAATTTACAATGTGAACATCTAGTTAGAGGAGACCTTACTGGGCCCTTTTAAAGGAGAGCCTTGCCTTTAAAAATGAATAAATAAGAGTTTCTACTTCTTTTCCTCATGAAACTGCATTGAAAGTATGAACAGCAATAAATCAATTGCTGAAAAAAATGGCAATGTACAGCTGGGCTCCCCTCCTGCATAGAAATGACATTGGAAAAATCACTCACATTTCCCTTTCCCTTCTAACTGACATTGTAAAATTTAAGCTACAGCCTCCCTAAAATACCTTTTATTGCTGCAAAATCCCAAGAAGGGTTCAGACTATGAGAGTGCAAGTGTTAAAATAGGCAAGGATTTTAAAAAAATAATACAGAAAATGCTGCATTCCACCCATCCTTGTTTACCCCTCCTCTTGTGTAAAAAGATAAGTTCCACTTGCTTATCTTATCCATCAAAATTCTTTCAAACTGTTCTGCAAAGATGTGCTTGTGTAGGGGATCTGGCATCCACATTCATTTGTCTAACGTATGCTGACAGTATTCATCTATAAATATTATGATAACAAGGGGAAGAAGTCCTGTGTTTCTTATTTCTGAATTTGTTTTGGTTTACCTTACTGAAGGACTAAAGGTCTTCTTACAAGACCTAATGTTGTTTAGGTCTTGTAAGAAAAATTCCGTTGATTTCCATTGATTGAATTCTTCCTATATTTGCCAGGCCATTTTCCTGAAAACAGCTGGGTAGAGTGAGAGTGTTATGCTTGTGTTGTATTTTTTAGAGTAAGAAGGTCGAAACAATTGCTTGATGTACGATGGACATTACTTAGCCAGACATCTGGTTGTTTCTCTCATTACTTATTACAGCTCTCCCTTTTTCTCAGTAGATGTGAACAGGTTTTCTTGGCTGGTTGGTCTTTGGTTTTGGGTTTTTCTTTAGTTGCTGAAGCTGGCCACAGATCAAAACGTGAAGGTTATACAAGCTGATTTTACTAAAAATTCAGTGTACAAGAATGTTGAAAAGATCTGAAGCACTTGGTGTTCTGGGTGAGTCATTAAGGTCTGTTAATTGACAAGTATTTTATGGCTGTAGTGTATTTAACAGACCATTATATAAATTATGTGTTGTAAGAACTTGTTAGCCAATGATTAAAACCAAGTATACGTAATGAGTCTGTGGCTCATTATCTGTTATGACTCATGAAGCAACAGTGAAAAGATGGGGTTTTGGAAGGTTTTTTTATATTTTTAAAGAAAGTCGTCCTTTTAATAGTGAAAGAAATGAAACAACAGCAATAATATACAAATGGCTTTAGCAACTGTTTGTTTTTCTGTTCCCCAGAGACAGCCCTCATCAGTATCAGTGACTTCAGTGAAAACAAGACTTGATGCTAAATAGTGTTTCTCTTCACATGCAGCTTCATTCTTCTGGGTCTTGAAGAGTAGCACTTTGTTTAACTAGATGAGTTATGCACTTTTTCTAGATTTGATTGTTAACATTGAATTTTCCCTGACTAGTTAGCAATGTTGGAATGATTCATAATCCTCTTCCATGCTATTTCATTAATGGGCCAAACATAGAAGAATTAGGATTATTCTGTGTATTTCATCCTCTAATATTACAATGAGGAAAGGTATTTCTTTGAACAAGGCACAGATTTTGCCCCTGCTGCAATTAACTGTTCAGTTGGTCTGGAAAGGAGCTGGGCCTGAAGAAGCATATTTTGATTTGGGTTTAATGCTTGGAGGAGCTTGAAAGAGAAGAAGAATGGTAGTTTTCAGCTAAACTGCAGGCAGCATCCAGCGATAGAGGGGAGAGTACAGCTGACCTGGTTCTAACAGGGATTAGCAGACCCCCTGACTCCCTGTAGTGTGATGGGGTCCAGTCCATTCACAGTCACAGCTGAAAATATTGCGTTTTTGTTAGTGTTATTAAAACTTAGTTTCTTGGGGACTTTGCTTAAGTATGTGGAAATAAGCCAATAAACCAACCAAATTAAAAGAAAACAAAAAAAAAAAAAAAAAACCTAAAAAAAGAAAAAGGAAAAAAAAGAAAGAAAAAAGATACCTCTTTTAAATGTTGTTTACTTTGTGGGGGAATTAATCTACAGTGGTTCAATTGAGTGACAGGATTAAGGATGTGATCAAGTTCTTCATTGCCTTATTGTTATTTACCTCTATATCATTTGCAATGAAAAGGCCAGAATTTCTAAGTGTGTACCACCTCTCTCAGGATTCATTCAGTTTTTGTGTCATCTTCTCTTCCAAATCAGAGAATCTCAGGCAGGCTGCTTCCCTCAAACTCTCACTTAAGGATGAATTTACTGTTTTGTTGCTTCCTGCTGGATCTTGTCAACTGCAATATTATTTCTGTTCCAGGTAGATGTGTGACACCTTCCAATCTGTTCTGGGGCTGTAATGTACTTCACCAGAAAAAAATCAGTCCCATGTTAGGTGGACCAACTAGCTTTTCTGTGTATTATCATTTCATTCATCAGCAGACAGTGATTTTCAGCAGGAATGTCAGTGTTAATTTAAGGAACCCACCTGTTTCTATTACCTGTGAAATATTTTGATCAGAACTGACTGGAAAATTTTTAACACAATTTCTCAGTTGAAACACATCCTTGCACTACAGCTGAAACAGCTAAAACATTTCACAAAACATTTTTGTTTTGGTATGCAGGGAGATTTGCTTCAGAATTAAAATTTTCAAGACAGATAAATCTGCAGTTTGAATTTTAGCACGGTACTTGTGGGTTTTGTCACAATTGTCTTTTGCCAACATGTTTTTGTATCAATGCAGGACAGAAACTCCAGGAACTGTTTCCTAATTCTGTATTGTTACCCCTTGCTGCCAATTTTGGTTGGTTCCTTCCCCTCCAAGAACAATTAGTATTTCATGCTTTTCAGCTCTGATTAAGATTTGTATTGCTCTGTTGTTTGCAAGCAGCATGTTAACATGAACATGAGCAGAAGATCTCAACCTTGGCTTTCATGCCTTTCAGGTCTTTCTAAAAATGACATGAAAATTAACAGCAGATGTTTCTCCTTCTCTGGCTTTCAAAATTTACTTCCCAAATTTGTACTGCTGCTAATGACTTAAGATAATAAATCATGTAATACCAATCAATAGAAGCAAGTTCTGTAAGTACCTTTGTGGCATTCTGCTCCTAGGATATATTCTATTTCCTATTCTGTGTCAAAAGAACAGAAATATCTGCAATACCTGAATGCTATAGATATATGCCATTCTGTACCCTCTCAGTCTGGATACAGAAGGTTCTTCTTTTTGTCATATCCCACTTTACATATATCTCAGAATCAAACTCTTTTGTTTTTGCAGTGCCTGGGCATTGCTTTCCCCTCTGCTGCACCACATTCTTTTCAGTGTTTCATGAATATTCACTTTCCTCCAAATTACAGAAAAGAAAATATTCTCCTAACCAGCATTCCTCATGGTTAGGTCCAAATAATCTTTAAATCTTTCTGGATTTTCCTTTCCCCTTCCTGTCTGGATTCCTGCTAAGATCCTGTTCACCATTTCTTGCAGTGTAATGCCTGAGGTCCAGGTATCCTGGCTCCCACTGTTTATTTGGAAATTGCTCTTAATCCAAGCTGATGTGACTGACCTGTGTTGTCAGACTTTGTCAACCCCACTCTGCTCCTACTATCCTCTTGGGCACAGTGACACTGCTGAAAAAAAAAATCTGGAAATAACAAGTATTCAATTAAACTGTGCCATTAATTTGCACTACTTTTCACTACTGCCCTTTACAAGTTAGGTCACACTGGTTACACAATTCATAGTGTAAGTATGACTTCTTCTTGGTACTAAGGCTTGCTATCAATAATACCCTTCAAAAGCACAACGAAAAGCTGATTTCTTACCTGAAGAAATGCATCTAATTTCACTTTAAAAATCAGATTCATTATTAAGTCTATTGCTAAAATAAGAATAAAAAAATAATAAAATAATTAGCACAAAAAAAGATCCTAAAGCTCTTTCTGGAAGCAGAAAAAATTATATATTTCCCTGATTTTCTGCAATTTCTGATCCAGCTACAGGCAGAAATGAAAATGCAAAAAGAATATGAAGTTGACTTTCTCCTTGCAGTTATGATTCCATGTTGCAGAATGATGAAATTCAGAAACTGTTGAAAAGCTTTGGATAAACATAAGACTCTCACTGCTTAGAAGACTAACCTTTGGAATTTTTTGACAACTCAGATGATTTTCAGGCCACAAGCATTTCTAAAATATTTTCCAAAATGTTGAATGTGCCATATTTTATCTATTTGAGCTGTATATATATATATATATGTCTTGATCAAGTGAAAAAACTTGTTAATAAATAAAATTAGTTCAAAAATGCTATCAGGAAGATGGGGAATGGAAAAAAACTTAAAATACTTGTCTTATAGTTGACAAAAATTATTTTGAAACAGATGCAATCAAGGTGTTTTTTTCTATAACTTTGAACTATGTTAATCTTCTACCTTCAATGCCTTTAGTGGTAGTTAGGCTCTTTCATTAAATTCTGGACTTCACAGTATATCAGTCAGTAAGATATCTTCTACTTCTGTTAGTGCTGTATGATTATATGTATAGGAACTCCCACGAATTGTCAGACAATTGTAGAACAGAGCAGAAAGCGAAATATGTATCTGCTCCCAGTTACAAATGTGTGGCAGAAGTAGAATAGGATGTGGTGGGCCTAATCGAGCAAGAAACAGCATTTGAATTATCATCAATTTTTCTAAGAGTAGTAGTTTGGTTTGCAATAATGATTTTCAGAGTCTGAAAATACCCATATAACTAATCAGAGACATTAATTAATCTCTGCGATTAAGGATCTCTGTCCTCTTTTTAATACTTCATGTATTTTAGACATGGGGTCCCTAAACTAGAAGTTAGGCTCTTTGGATGGATTTTCTAGAAAACATTGTTGAATACTGCATTTTTGAGGACAGCACATGCTTTTAGTTTTGGCAAAAAATATATTTCTTACTGTTTATGTTTCATTTTGTTTTGTTTTGTTTTTCCTCATTATTCCTCGCTAAATGCGTTGGATTTTAGAGATGTGTACAGGGAGTTGTGAATGGGGAAGCTAAACCAGTAGATCCATGGAGCAGGAAAAATAATGTGTTGGCTAAAGACCAAAGGGGATCTGCCAATTACTTAGGAGAATAAAAACTTTCCTCTGATGACAGACTTTTTTCTGTTAGATGTACAATTGCATGTACAATGTTCCCATGGTTCTGATTGCAGCAGGCATTTAATTTTCACTTATGACATTATTCCTGCCTGGTTTAGACCAAACTAAACTGTAAAAAGGGGGTCTTTTGAAGGCACACTTGAGAGTATAAAAGGAGCCTTCTGGGGAAAAAAAGTGTTTTCTGCTCATGCAGCCTTTTACTATAATGCTGTAAAGTGTAAACAGAATGTAACTGTTTAAATTAAATTGCAGTCAGAAAGTTCTAATTCTGAATCTGTCCTCTGATTTGAGTACTTTCCCTTGTCCATTATATACAATGTACTCAGCTACTAAGGTAAATCCTTCACATTGCTTTATGAAGAAATCCCCATTAAGTGTTTATCACAGCATTGTATCAGTGTAACAAATGATCAGTATATAAATAGCACTGCTCCATTGAAATAATGAAGTAATGTAAATTAGCACTACCTGACAACCAAGAATCAGTGAAACTATGTAAATGAAATCAGCTCAGGGTATGTCTGATCCTTGGAATGATTTTGCCTGTGATTAAATAGTATTATACCAGTACTCACAATTTGTCTTCATTCTGGGAAGTGATGTATTTTACTATGCTCATTTCTCTAGTTTACTTAAAACTGGAGATGCACAAAAGTGCTAGGTTTTGCTTATGGAACCAAGAATAAAATTTCTGGTAGGTGACTGATGAGTTGCCTAACTTCACAGATTTCACCTTGAATTTTTGCTCTGAATTTGAATCCCTGAACTTGCAAAAGTGAGGAATGAATGATTTTGAGTAAAACTCCAAAAGGAACTTGATCAGCTCAGGTTTCCTTCAAATGAAAAATTCTAATGATATTTTCTTGAACGTAGCTAAAGTTTAGATTGGCAAAAAAAAAAAAAAAAAAAAAAAAAAAAAAAAAAAAAAAAAAGAGCTATCCTTGGTAAGAAAGTACAGTTTTCTATTTCCTTTTTCTCCTTTTATATAAATCCCTCATTGCTCAAAATTTGGACTTCATTCAAACCAGACAATTTTAGATCCTTAAAAGTGTTTATTTAACATTATTTCCAAGTGATATGGTACATTAGTAGGATTATGTTGTCTCCTTGTCTTTTTTCATTCTCGGGTATCTTTTAAATTTGGGAGTTCTTTTGTTTTGGCTTGGTTTGTGTTTTTGTTAGTTTATTTGTTTATTTTTTTTATTTTGTTAGTTTATTTTTTTATTTTTTTTTAATCCCCTGGAAGGAAATTATTTTACTTGTCATCATTATATCATGAAAGTGTTGGTGTTACAATTTTAAGACTATTGGAAGGTCAGTTTGAAAAACAGTCTTTTTTTTTCCTTTACTAGGACTTTTATATTTTTCATTACAGAGGAGCAATTCAACATCATCAAGTTTCTGACTGTTTCTCAAAGATCTAACTCATAAAATCTCTCTTGAAAGAAATGCAACATTTGCATAAAGTTAGTATGTGCATGTTGTGGAGAAAAACTTAAATAAATCTAAAAGATTGAAGCTAAAACTTTCCTTCAAATTCAGAAATACTTGACTTTGAAACAGTTGTGTGTAGGTTGTGCTGCTAGGTAAATACTGAAGGTACAAGTCATTTTGCTCCACTTTTCAGTGCAAAAGAAACAAGTGCAAGTGTCTGACTGGCACAGTAAGGATCATCCAGAGCACAAGAAACAATAGCTAGAATACGTGGGACTTGCGGGTGTATATCTCTGCTTTTTCGTAAAAGTGTCAAAGATTCCAGCGCAGTCTGCAGTAATACTTGTTGCATGTCCAGCTCAGGACAGTGCCAGGTTCCATCTTTTCTGGTGCAGAGAAAGAGTCAGCCTCGCCCAGGTGCACCAGCAGAAACTGTACCTGGAAAACTGAATTTCTGTGTTTTCCACAGCTGCCATGGGCCTTAGATTGTACAATGTTAGACCACGTGTGCTAGGGACACGTTCACTCTTATTTCAGTGAAAGCACTGAGTTTTCTATGCTAATGGTTTGTTTTGTTTGGTTTGGTTATATTCTATCTAGGCTTTTATAAGCACTTCTACAATCACTACAAGCAGAGCATAAGACAAAGGTAGTTATCATACAGGTGTTTCTGTATCTTGATATATTAGCCTTCATTTAAGCAAATTCTTCAAGAATATTTGAGATGTCTAAATCTGTATTGTGTAGCTGTCCTCAGTCAACCTCTGAAAAAGTTCTGTCTCCCCTCTATATGCAGCTATTTAAAATTTCAAATTATTTCACCATAGTACTATCACTGATTCCATATAGTATCCTCATCCATTGCAAATATCAATTAAAATATGCCAGGTGCTATGGGATTCTGCAGGGTGCCTTATGTGAGTTTAGATGGCATTACACTGTTGTTTTTTTCTTTTTTTTTTTTTTTAAATTTTAGATAGCAATTTCTTATGGTGTTTCTGCTCCAATGACAAAGTACCAAAACCCGGGTGTTACTACAAAGAGAGCAGAAGAGTTTGTTAGCGAGTCACTGGAGTATGTCACCTTTGGAGATGAGATTTTTGGATGTTTCACCAATGAAATTTTGATTGAATTTGGTCCTGTGAAAATGTCTTCCAAGGGCTCCAGCCAAGTCTGTCTGGGCTCAGCCTGTTCTTTTCACATTTTCGTGGACCTTGGACATGAAATGAGAGAGAGACAAGGGGTTGTTAAAGCTAATATGGCACCAGTAAAATATGAAGAGAGGAATACACAAGTGAAGTGTAGTGGTAACAGCACAGTATGGTTTTCTCTGCTTATGAGCCTTGAGCTGAGCTCAGTTTCATGTCTGGTTAGTCTTTATCCTCTCTCCAGCTGCCTGTTTTCATGACCTTGCTAAGGAATTTTCCAAGACCTCTACTCCTTCAGAAAAATTGGCCAGCAATTTCAAAAGTTATTAGTTGGAAGGACTTAAAACCAGAATGTGCTATCACAAAGACATAATTTCCTTGGATACTATGCTAACAAAATAGAGTAAATATTTATACGCAGCAGCTGTTAATGATGAGCATTAAATGCAAGTATAAGAAAGGCAAAGGATTTGCTGAAAGCAGAGGAATTAACATTTTCCTCTAAAAGAAATGTAGTTGCTGAAAACCTGAAGGAAAAGCTTTTGTGGGCCTTATATAGGCTCTAAGAAATTTATATTACCATTTTAACATAATCTTAAATGTCACCAATAATTACGCTTATTTGATATTTATGAATAAAAAAATAATTTGCTTTATTTCCATTTTGTTCACACTGTATTTTCATGCTTTCAGTGAGTGTTTTGTGTCTCTGGTTTCTTTGGAAAAGGAAATTTGCAAGAAGATAAAAAGAAATCTCTCAGAATGTAAAATACACCCTGGACTTTGGGAAGCCTGCAATGATAAAAAAAATATTTCTCTCCAGAGCCCATGAACAGCTCTGCAATATCCAATATGGGATGTAAGAGGCAGCAACGTAGGAAAAGGATGCACAGTAATTCCATACTGCTGAATGAGTCCAGAGGACAAGTGTTTTGACTGGCTGCCTGTCAAATCAAACTGGGTGCTATTAAAAGGTTTTTCAAGGACAATGCAATCACCAGGTGTAGTCATTGTGGGATTATGAAAGGAAAGTCCTGCCTAATTAATTTGATACCCATATAGAATAGGGTTACTTGCCTAGTAGATGAAAGGAAGGTGGTGGGTAAGGCTTTTCTTTCTTTTTAGTAATATTTAATAAGATTTTGGTAAGATTTTTGGTGCTGTCTCTCAAAGTGTTCTTCTGGACAAGCTGTTGCAATGATCAGGTTCACAGTGTGCTGGATGAAGAACTGGCTGAATATCAGAACTTCAGGGGGTTTAGTGTTTGGGGCTGCATCTGCCCAGTGAGCAATCACCAGTGGTGTTCCTCAGGAATTCACTGTGGGACCAGTTCTGGTCAACCAGTTTATCAATGATCTGGATGCAGGACTTGAATGGGCCATTTGCTGACAACACTGAACTAGGAGATGCTATTGACTCTCTTCAGAGATGAGAGGCTGAGGGCTCTGGATTTGTCTGGTTTGGAGAGAAGGAGGCTCAGGGGTGACCTCATTGCTCTGTACAGCTCCCTGGGGAGCAGACCTGGAGAAGGAGGGCTGGTCTCTTCTCTCTGCTCTGGATATTAGGAAGCACCTCCCTACTGAGAGGATGGTGAAACACTGTCACAGGCTTCCTAGAAAGGTGCTTGATGTCCCGTGCCTGTCAGTGCATCTGGACAGTGCCATACACATTGGGCTTTAACTGCTAGCTGGCCCTGAAGTGGTCAGGGAGCTAAACTACATGATCTCTTTAAATCCTTTCCAACTAATTTATCCTAGGCTAGGCTTGTTTCTGCTATTTAATCAGAGTCATTTCTGTTCATTAAAAATCAGTAATTTTCAAGTGTCTTTTAACTTTGCATGTTTAACTTCTGCATTTCAAAAAGTATTTGTAAAACACTTGTATGAAGACAGCAAGGACTCTAATTAATTAATAAATCTAATTAATAAATGAGATTTTTTGCCAAATGTGAGGGACAGTCCCTGTAATCTTTGCCACATAGATGGAAGAGAAATCACAAAATGTGTCCTGCTGGCTCCAGAAATTCCAGTCTGCTACATTATAGTTAATGACATCTATGGACAACACATCATAGACATATATTATAGCACCATTTAGGGGCCAGGTTTCTGCATGTCTCCTATACTTGTTATAAATCTCAAAAAAACAACTAAGGATTGAGCTGCAATATCTGAACTGAAATAGTGAAAATTGCAATACATAAAATATGTATCTTTCCTACAGTATAATCAGATTTGGCCCAGATCTGCAAACTGTTGTAAAAAAAATCCGTTTACTCTCATGGGCTACTATAAGTTGGTTGTGCCATTGAATTCAATGAAAGTGCTGATACACTTATGTTCTTTCATGTCAGAATTGGAAATAAAATTATTACTTGAATATTATCACCCAGTGTAGAGAACATCTGAAAATAAGAATGAGACATCTATGCTGGTTTGAAAAGCAAGGAATAGAAACAGTTTGTTCATCACTCCATAAAGACTGTGTTTTCAGGTGACTAAACTGTATTCTTCGAGGTGTTGTATTTGTGCAGCTGTGCAGCAAGTACCGAATACAAGACATGTTACATATTGCATGTACACCAAAACCTGCTGAAGTTCCTGGGGGAAGTGTGCATTGAATAGGAGGCCCCAAGTGTGGAATGTAGGGTTTGTGTTTGCTGTTAGTAAAAGTGCCACTTCCTCTATGTAGTTGTATGCTCAGTCAATACATCCTGAGATCCAGCATGGATGCAGCACCTGTCTTTCCCAGTTCATCCACTCCAAGCACTTTCTGAGGCCTTGTCCCCAGGCAGCTCTCTGCGTGTTTGATTTCCATGTTTTAGTAGTCCCTGCAGGGTGAACCAACTCCTATGGAGCAGTGGCTGCTCCTGCTGGGCTTGAGTCACTGGGGGTCACTTAGGGATTCAGTCACAGCAGCAACAAACCTGAGGACTCCCTTGCCTGCAGCTTGTCATGATCCCAACACAGCTACAAATTCCTTTATTTTCTCTCTTTCACACCAGTTACCTAACTCATGTTAAAAAATATCCTTTCTCCCCTCCTACAAGGACAATGTTTTGTCACTGGAAACAAATGTTTATCTTAAAAAAATGTTAAAAACTGTTACAGGGACCCTAGTAACACAGAAGTACCATTGGTACAGGCATGGGTTAGTGAGTAAGAGACTTGGTTTCCAAGGTTTGCAAGTCCTGTCATCTGTGATAAAGGACAATTCCATGTTTCTTGTCTCAGATCTCAATATGCACAGCCTCAAAAAGGTTTATGGATTTGCATTCTGCGTGAGGCTTGCAGGCTGTTGAGTAGAGAGCTGAGCAATCAGCTTAGTGTCGATTTGTTTCTCTTGATGAACATAAGGATATGTTACTTGCTGCTCTTGCATGGTCAGTCTGTGGAGGGCTGACACACAGATGCTGTGATTCACGGGGTGTCCTGAGCGGGTCCAGGAGCTGGGCTCGATAATCCTCATCAGTCCCGTCCAACTCAGCATATTCTAGGATTCTATAATTTTGTTTTTCTATTTGCACAATATTAGGCCGGATCTTGCTGACTTCCAGCCTTCTAACGATAAATTAGAAGTGCTCTCTCTCATGATAAATTAACCTAAGTCTGCAATAAGAGATTTCTCTTCCTTTGACTTCTCAGAGAAGTGAGTGGATCAGCCTCCAGTGTGTAAGCTTGGAGGAGAAGCAATCATACCTTCCTCTTAATTTTGTACACCATGTGTTCTCTCTGAGTGCTGAACAAACACTCAAAAATTATATTATCTGCTCTTGCTTTTGGACTTGGTTGATGGGGAAATAGAAACAGGGAGGGAAAATGGCAGTTCTTCCCAGTACTCCCTACCTAGGGAGAAAGTGAAGGAGCAGACCAGCAAATCAGGCCTTCTGCTTCTCCCACAGAACCCATAGCATGGAATTTCCTCTTTTGTGATTAAACATTGGTAACAACCACAAAACCGCACACTGGAGCAGTGGCTCGTCATGGAAGGATTCCGTGTTATCCCTGTTTACAGAGTGGAAAGAAGTGTGGAGAGGTGATGCACCTGCCCCAAGCCACCTGGAGGAAGGAGGATCCGCTCAAGACAAATACAGTTCACCACTCCTCAGCCTCAAACTCCAAGGAGCCTTTGACTTCTAAGGAGACTCATGGCTCAGAAAGTCAAATGCCTTAAAATTAAGAAACAAAAACAATGGCTATCCACCTAGAGCCAAATTTTGCTGGGCTTGTGTTCTTATAGCCTGACTCCACCAAACCTCAGAGTTTGATGAAAAGCTGCCATCCATGCCTTAATGAAGGGTTATGCCTCCTTTTCCCAGGGTCACTGGATCAGGAGATTGCAGAATGGTTTAGATTGGGAAAAAACTTCGAAGATGATCTACTCCAACACCTCTGCCATGGGCAGAGGCACCTTCAGGAAACCTAGCCTGTTTTTCTGAGCAATGATGGAAGAGAAGGGAGATAGAAGGAAGAGCACTGGACCTGTGGAAAAAAAGAAATTGGGTCAGAAATACAGTGTAGTGCACAAAGGAAAATATTTTAAGGACCTCTCCTTTCACTCACTCACAATGGTTACATTCCCTGGCTTTTCCCTGTGAGCATGCATGTGCATAGTTACATATGTATGATGCCATAGTGTTGGTGACCTTGAAGCTGGTCTTCAATAAGGGCCACAAAAAATCAAAAAAATTGGAGAAAGTCAGACCTTTTTGTCCTTGAGGCTCTTTTGAGGTATAAAAGTGCTAGTGTTCACTGGGGGTTTTGAATGCATAGTGTGCAGGCCAGTATAGAGTTGAGTGAGAGTTTTGCTGGTTTGTTGAGTTTTTTGTTTGGTTGGTTTTGTTTTTTGTTGGTTTGTTTGCTTGCTTTTGGGTTTTGTTTTTGGTTGGTTTGGTTTTTTTTTTTTGTTTTTTTTTTTTGGTTTTTTTTTTTTTTTGTTGTTTCTTTGTGGTTTTGTTGTTGTTTCAGTTTCAGTTTTGGTTTGGGGATTTTGGGGTTTTTTGGTTTTTTTTTTTTTTTTTTTTTTGTTTTTTTTGTTTTTTTTTTTTTTTTTTTTTTTTTTGGTTTTTTTTTTTTTTTTTTTTTTTTTTTTTTGGTTTTTTTTTTTTTTTTTTTTTTTTTTTTTTTTTTTTTTTTTTTTTTTTTGTTGTTTCTTTGTGGTTTTGTTGTTGTTTCAGTTTCAGTTTTGGTTTGGGGATTTTGGGGTTTTTTGGTTTTTTTTTTTTTTGTTTGTTTGTTTTTTTTGTTTGTTTTTTGTTTTGTACTTTTGACTATTTTTCTGTTTCATTGTGTTTTTTCCCCTGAAATCAGCATTTTTGGAGTAAAGATAAAGCAATTTACGGCTGCAAACTTCAAAACTTTGATTCACACAGATTTTAGTTATTACATTAGTCACATGCTTAGGCAAAGCAGAAAATCACTATAGGAAAAAAAAATCTCTCCAATTATCTCAAGACTACTAGATTAAGGAAAAGAGGAACTATGCAGTGCAGGATTGCTTTTAAAAATCCATTGTATTCAATCAGTGAATTAAATCAGCAGTTGAGTCAAAGCCTTACTTTCATGAAGATTGGAGCTTCAAGTCTGTCTAGACAAGCAATTTACAGCAAGGGAAAAAAAATCTAAACCATTGAATCCTAATGTTGTAAACAGTCTGTTATCAAGACTGGTAATACAGACAGGGCTCTACTTTTCTCAAGGACCACCCACAAGAGAAAGAATTTGATATGGCAACTTGCCTGAAAAATTTATTTATGATATCCCAGTATGTGGTAGCTGCATGAAAGAGTTGTATGAGTGAGGAGTGCTTTGCTGAGGGAGCAGCTGATGGGGTTGGCCTTGACAGTGACTGCAGCATGCACTTCAGGAAAGTCACTCCTCCTAAAACACAGAATAAAGACAGGGAGTCTTCAAACAGTCTCTTGACTATTCTGCTCTGTCCCTTGGTCTTTCCAGCATTATGGCGTTTCAAGAATCCCAAATTAATCATAACATGTGTAAAGGGACAGTTGTCTTTCCTCCTGCCCCCTTTCTTTTTAAAGAGCCTTCTTGATTAAGAGCCTGCTTGCAGACCTTCTGCATGGTCTTTAAGCCACGGCAGCATATATCCTGGTGCATATGGGTTTCTGAAGGCAAAGGCAGAGATCAGCATTACAACTCAGAGTTTTACAAAGTGAGACACACCATCCGTCACTGTCAGCAGCTGCAGCAGGAGCATGGCAGACATCTCCTGGTGTAAACTGCCCCTTGACAGCCCCTAGCATCTCCTGAGACAGCTGTAGGACAATGAGAGCTTTCTAAATCCCATTTTAAGTCTTGGATAATAAAGCTGGATACCAGCAGCAGCACTTACACGTTTTAGAACAGTCTGCGTGATCTACATTGAAATTGCTGTCCAGCTTACTGAGAAAATTGGGAGAGAGATACCAAAATACACTTCTGACTTAAATCTCCTACATTGATTTTAATGTATTTTAACCTTTCAGAAATGATTAAAATCAAGAGTGACTGAAATGTTGTATAAAGCATATTTTGAACTAAAGCCGTCTAAACTTTTCCAGTGTTTCAAATGTAGCTGAATCTGGGCATTTGTCATAAAAAACTGAGGCAGTCACACCAAAAAGGAGACCACCTGTAAAACAGTTCCCTCCTCTCCACAATGTTTTGGGGGTTTGATTTTAGTGGGTTTGGTTAGGGATTCTTTTTGCTTTGGTTTGGGTTTTTTCCACTTTGGTTTTGTTTTGAGAGTTTTTTTGTAGCTTAACTGGTTGTGAGTTTTTGTTGTTGTTGTTGTTGCTGCCAAAAAGAAAGGTACAAGAAAAAAAAAAAAACCCACAAAAAACGAAGAGGGCCCAAGAGGGTTATTACATTCTTCTCTCCCTTTCTCTTTCCTCCACTACTCTGCAAACTTCCGAGTTGAATGGTTCAGGAGTGAGTGAGTGGGGAGCAAGGTCAAACACAGTTTTGCACAATGAAATCACACCTTGATAGCTTTGCTAGCTCAAGGGGAGAGTATAAAATCTACTGGAGGATGACCTGTTGCGTTTCGCATCGCCTCGAAGTATACAGGCAGCTAGGATTGTTGCTCCCTAGGAACAAATTAAAAATATATTGGGTATTCCCAGGGAACCTTTTGGAAAATCTGTGTGGCAAAACAATTGTTGCTGCTGTTACAAATGCTAAAGGCCTGTTTCAATACAAGAAGAGGCTTTGTTGAAACTGTGACCTGGGAGGAGATGTCCTCCTGCCGCCAGGCTTTGCTATGTTGTGAGCACAATGTGAGTCTGTGCTGGAGAAATACCTTCACTGAACAGGTCAATGAAAATTAAATTGAGATCAAAATTCTTTGCACTGTCTTCAAATAAGCATTCACCTAAAATTTGCTATAGAAGTAAATAGTGGGAAGAAACAATGGCAAAAATGTATGTGTGCAGAAATATTTGGCAAAGGAAAGGAAGAAGTCAAAAGCAACCATTTTTGATGTAGATTAAAGCCTATTTGTGGTGTAGGAGAGAGGGAGAGATGGCTGGCCCCAGTGCCTGAGCTGGATCAATAGAAGGGGATGAGGACTGATGCAGGTACAGGGCTCAGCAGGGCGTCTGTGATTATTAAGACCTCTGGA